TATTTTTTGCTTATATCATTCCGATCCTTGTCATGTTTATTTTTAAAAATTTGGAAGGAATAATTGATCGGTTAGTTGTCACTTGTACATTTTGCTTGCAATTTGTCACCCCTATTAAAAGATCTGGTTCTGCCTTAATCAGTCAAATTTCATAGTTGTCAAATAAAAAATCCCCTTGGCAAGAAGGCCGCAGCTTATACTTTAAAGAAAGTAGTCGGTCCATGATAGTGTCTGGGAGTTGTCTCTGAAGAATTCTCAACATATCAAGATACGGCTGATAATATAAAATGTAGATGGCAAAATAAAACGGCATGCCCCTCTAAACATATGCTCATTAATTAATATGGTTACAAGCAAAAAAGGATATAAAAAGGATATAAAAAGGATATATAAAAGGATTTAAATGGTTGCAACGCATTATCTATTTTAACAGAAATCAAGATAGTAACTCATGCAACAAAACGGAAAATGGCAATGAGATCAACGTTATACAATGATGGAAACAAATCAGATAGTAAAAAATCTTATTCTAATTTAATTCCTAAATCAAGTCTCAACCCTCCAGACACTGGTGACATTTGAACGCATTTTATCTAATTTAAATTAGAATTCAAATTAGACTTTATCTAATTTAAACAATCGAATCAAATCAAAAGTAAAACATGCAAACAGGTATAACTGCTTATTTGATCTAATATCCGAGGAAATGTGCGTCCGGGGTGTGTGACGCTTATTACCAGTCCTACATCGCCGCTGAACACCCTGAAAAGAAATCTGCTTATGATAAGTTATTCTTTTTATACCATGGTCAGAGCAATATCTCAGTATTCAATAGCAAGTGATAAATCATATATTTAGGATATGGATGATATTGGGATTAGAGGGATGATATGGATATCAACCCGGGTATTTTAAAAAATTTCATTTTTCTCTCATTCAAAAGAGGATTTTAGATATATTTTGCTCTTGATCATGGTATAAGGTCGTTATTCACCTGTCGGGATGATATTGAGAATATCCCTCGGATGATATCAATATTTCCCTCTGTCACTGCGTTCCCTCGGGATATATTCATATCATGTGATATTCCCCATATGAAATCCCTCCTGGTGATTAACTTCTTTGTATATACTTTCAACTAAAACAATGAAACCGAAACACAATGCATGCCAAACATTATCTATTGTTATATTATGGTTATTTCATAGTTTGCACTTGTATTCAGCAACTGTGTTTCTCAAACCAAATATGGGATAGACCTTTTTAGGGTTATCACGTCAGACTTAACACGTCGCTTGAGGCAAGATGCATAAACTATATAATTCCACGGCTATAACTTGAAGAACGCCATTGTTGTGTCTGTACCCCTTTAGGATGGGCCGTATATTGTTCTTGTGTGTATCCTACCCACGGGAACCTACAAAACAGAAAAATATATAATTACATTATCAAAAGGGGAAGTCCCGTCTATATAAATCCCTAGATTGAAGTCGTTGAAACATCCCCATATTCTGATATTTGCAACAAAAGAATGGTAAACCAAAGTCAGTAGTAGTTGTACCTTATGCATGAATTGTAGCTTTTGGGAAAGATGATAAAACGCAAAATATAATTTAAATACTTGGTGAAGTCAGGCATTCATGATCTAACAAGAAATTTAGGGAAGGCGTTGATTATAATTAAACGTAAAAGCAAAAGTTGACCATTGCATCTCGGTGGTTATCATGACAAATGAATGTTCATTCGAAGACTTCATTTTGCAAATTTGACCCAAAATCACACGGAAAATGGTCAGAATTATGAAAAACTGCATGATTTTGAAAGAGTTTTTGGCCAGGGGGGGGGGGGGGTTGCCTAAAATAAGTGAAACTTTGAGAACCCACGGGAGTACATGTAATTACTCACTGTAGAAGTTAAATGCACGCGAGGAAATGTTTTTTATTTGTGATACTCCCTAGATTTGCTTGTTGTGAATCAATAGAGTAAGATCAATAGAGTAAGAACGATACGTTTTGGATGTAAATAATATTAAAAGTTATTGAATGATTTGAAGTGCAATACAGGATATATTCTGCTCGAGAAATTCCGTATTGGAACGAGACGAAGTCGAGTGCCAATACAGAATATCGAGACAGAATATCATAATGTAGTTATTAAATTCACACGTTTGGTGTATTTGATATTGCCGAAATTATGTACAAGGGGTCTGTTGCAATTTCACAATTTCAAGCTGTAATCGGCCCTTGTGCCCGGGAGTAGAAATAAACTATATCTATGACAACATATTTCATGTCACTAAATTTAAACCCCTTATTTATGGAAAATACTTTACATTGTTCTTACTATGGATGTTATATAGGATTTAATTCGAATTTGAAATCCGGAATTTTTAGTACTTTAAAAAGATAAATTAAATATGGATGTTCTTTGTACAGTTTGTGCATTTACAGGATGTTGTGTACGTAGAAACAGAGAGGCTAGCTACATGTACACGTATTTTAGAGAACTTGTACGTGAACCCTGTCCCTCCCTCAATTTACTTTTTTTTACCATCGGGAAGCTATCGTTCCGAGCTAAACCATGGTGTTATTTATTAAGAATTCCGACGACAAATTGCAGAATTATAGACCGATTAATGCAGTTTCTCAAATGGCTTGTTTAGAGCCAGAAAAGTGGATTCAGACTGCAACATGGTTGCTATATTGCTCTGGGTTTCGTCAGAGCCGACCGCCCGTGTATGATGTAGTATTGAAGGCCGGAGTGCAACTAGAGCATGGGTATTTAAAATGTATTCCCAACCTCCCAAAAAGGTTTATTCATCAAAACTACTCCGGGACTGTACACACGCGCACGAAACTACTGTAAGAAGAATAGGCGTAACATTCCTGTCGACTTATTAATAAACGTAATGTTTAAAGAAAAATTAAATCACCGAAAAGCGTATACAACTGCTTCAAATGTTTGTACATGTGTGCCACTGGACCAATGTGAAATGGAATGATCCGTAATCACTTTTTGTATTCTATTTAGACGAATCAAATATTCATTGAAACTGAGAAAAACGCAACACTAGAATCTTGTCTGAAAGTTGAGTTAATATAGTCTCTACTACATATGTAAATGAAAAATAATGTAGGTTTAGTTTAATTAATATGCGTATGCAATCGTTGAGCGAAGGCAACACTGGCGTTAAGCTATGTAAGCACGAACGGTTCGCGGGTTAAGTCCTGTCGCAAAGCAAGGTAAACGCGAGGTAGTCACACACGCGAAGCGACCGCGCCGCTCAAGTAAAACAAGGGTATCGCACTCGCACGGCAAAGGAGTGTACGGCGGACGGCAAAGTGACACTTTCGTTAATAGATGAACTGTATCTTAAGATCAAACTTTCTTGCAAATGTTTTAGAACATACATCACATTTGAAGTTCTTTTCTCCACTATGGATTTTATAATGTTCCAATAGTAAAGATTTCCATTTGCACACTCTATGGCAAATATCACAAATATGCTCTCCTTTTTTGCTAATTGTTAGTCTATGAAAACCACTTGTAATAATGTTACCACTAGAAGTATCATTCTTCACCGAACAAGCAGAAGTAATATGTTTGGCATTATTTAGCACACCATCAGTATTATTGACCTTGTTACATGTATACTCGATGATGTTTTCCATAGTAAAGGTAAATGCTGCCTTCTTAGATTAAGTTCATGTATCACTTACTGTAGTTCACTTGGTAAATGCATGGCTCCATCATTAGATATTTATAATACAAGTCGATTTTTACAAGTTGCTGAGTAAAGTATTGTATACATTTATTCAATGATGGTGAACTTTCTAGCAGTGTAAGATTCGTCCATGTATGTTGTTTTTTCTGCCATTTGATATTCAATTTATACTACACTCTGATGTCACTCCATTGTATTACTCAATGTTCACGCTTGAAGCATCATCTTCTGTTGAAAAACACCTGGTAATTCGTATTGCAAAAGTGTTAAGTTCTCTTATAGCACTACAATAGAGCAGTTTCACATTAAATCAACAATAGTAAGTCTATTTGTTGTTAAATAAGACTAAGTTAACTATGTGAATAAAGTCTGAGTATTGCTAAGTTATTAGTAGGTATTAGTATGATTGTTAAGTCTTCAGATGAATATTAACCCTTTGATACCCATATTGATAGATATATCAGTCATTGCATTTCTCACTAAAGAGCTGAACCTTTGACAAAATTTGTTCAGTTTACAAAAATATGTATTAGAATGTGTGTATTTTCTATATTCAGTAATATTACCTAAATGAACATCAAACATTGGATATTAAGATAGAAATGTGACAAAATGAAAGATTCTCTGGTATGCAATGAGTTAAGTATTTATTCTCAGTTGGCTTAATCCAGTGGCATTGGGAGCGGCTAAAAGTGTTTGGATTAATTTTTCACATATCCTGATTTTGTGTTTTTCAAACTGGCTTCTTTTTATTTCATACTAAATTACCAATTGTCACATTTGGTTCAGATTTTATGTGCCAATGCTTTATCGACATAGGACCCTGGGCAAGAAGAAATGCTGAATTCAAAATAGCTACCACTTCTCAGGAAACTGATTTTTCTGACAACACAGAGATATCAGTTACCAGATTTGGTGCACATTTTATATGCTAATGTGTTATGGTCATAAGACATAGATGCCATTATTATGCATGCAAAAAGTGAAATTATGCAACAAAAACCATATTTCAAGTGAATTAAAGACTTCTTGAATTATGTGATATCACCGACTCCATCTCACCATATGTAGCACCTTTTCCAGTATGGACAATAATACAAAATTCCAGTTTTTGTTTAGCCATTATTTACCTAATAATTATGAATATGATTAGGGGCCAAAAATGTAACATGTAAAATACAGGTTAACACATCATGAAATAGAAATTTGAAGGTACTGTGTTCTACTGTATTTGACTAAAATATCATTAAATATTGTTTTATCACAAATATTACAGTTTGATTCGGTCCCTGATGAGTAAAGACAATGGTCACAAGGCTCCTACAAAACTGGGAGACAATATCACTGATGGTATTGACATTTCAACATGGCAGGTTGATGCCAAACATGACCAGACTCTCAGCTATAGTGTGTGGGACTTTGCTGGCCAGAGTCTCTATTACAACACCCACCAGGTAAGCCAAAGGTTATGATAAATTAAAATGCACTATGGTAGTTAACAGTCAATGTGATTACAAGGCATCATGGTAATCTCTGGTGACTCCATTCATTGGATGGAGTGGGAATCAATTCAACCGTGACTGCTTTTGAGCAACAGTTTATCCTCAAATGAGCGATATAATTCCACAATGAAGGCACAAACCCCAATCACATTTGACTTTATTGAAATGTGAAGACCAATGTTTCTATTTGAAAGAACTTATTTATTACTATACATGTTTGCCCCCTGGCCTTGCATAGAATGGATACAATTAATAGAATGAATACAATACAATTTTCAGCCAAATATAGGCCAGAAGTCAAATGAATGTAATAAAACTTGACTCAGTAAACCTAAAAAATGACTGGTTCTACAGGCTGGTTCTTCATGTATGTTCATGTAATTAGAAAAGTAATTCAGTGTATTCTCTCCCATAGTTCTTCCTGTCGAAGAGGGCAGTGTACCTACTTATATGGAACACAAGGCTGGGGTATGAACATGCAGGTCTGGACTTTTGGTTGAGTTCCATACAGAGCCATGCTCCTGAAGCACCCATATTTATAGTGGGAACACATGCTGATAAGGTAAACTTAGTTCATAAAAATGCAAAATATTTGTGTACAATGGTTTACTATGTTAATATAATATATGTGTGTCAGTTTTAATTTACACGTCACATATCTCATCACATTGTCTTATCCAGATGTCCCTTAAGTCAAGTAATAATGTCATTTGAAGTTAAATAACAAATGTAATTGATCAGAATTTTCTGGAAATGTTTTTCAACATTATCTCTCATAAATCTGTTATCTTATGCGATACGAGTATAAGTGGTGTCATTTCCAGATATGACTAGGAAATGTCAATGGAATATTATAACTCTATATAATTATAACAATACAGGTGTCAAAAAGTGAGATTCCCCAGATTGACTTGAAGGAGCGATATCCCAGCATTGAGGGCTTCTTCAAGATAAGCTCGCTGACTGGCAAGGTAAGAACAAAAAGTTGTATCAGAAGCGATTTCAGTATGTTACATTATTCACTGTTTTAATACAAAATCACTTAATTAGTGACTTTATGTTATGTTACAAGCCAATTTTTTTTCAATTTATGAAGAATTATCATCATTTGTGAAAGTGCTAAGTGGAGTTAGCAAATCTTGGTCGTAAACTGTAGATTACTCATGCAAACTTGAAGAATATTGGAATGCAAACTAAAATAAAATAGCTTTCAACCTCAACCCTTCCCCCAACACAAAAAGTACAATGAACTTTTTGATCCCTTTAATATTGACCTGTTGTTTTTAAGTAAAGGAGGATTGGAAGCCGCTATTCAAACTCAATGCTCCATTGCCCAGCATAGAACAATTTTCGTTAAAGAAAATATTCGTAATGACCTTCTTTCAACAAAATACTTGGTCCAAAGAGAACCTAATAGAAATATTTTTACCAAATTGTCCCACTACAGGCAAGGAGTATTGAGTTTGAATAATGACTGCCAATCCTCCTTGTGTTGTTTTCATTCAAAGTACATGTAGATTTGTCGCCATCTTTTAGGGAGTTGTTGAGCTGTTAGATGGGATCAACGAAGCCACTCTTAAACAACCATACATTGGAGAGAGAGTACCTCAAGCCTGGATAGGTCTTGAGAGGGCATTAATCAAGTATGTAATACGCTTGTGATATATAATATGATGATAATATGATATGATATATCTCGTAATGTAATGTGAGCTACTTGTATACGCTAAATAATAAGCTTGTAATATTTACCAGAGAACCTTACCTATTCTGTTTATAATTATGAACATCACTTTAAAAAGCTTTTGATTATCAGTTGATTTGCATGTTGAACTAGGGCTGGCATGGAACGGAACAGAATCGGAACGAAACGGAATTCCGAACTTGGCTTCGGAATTCGGAACTTTCGCAATTTCGGACCTTATTTAAAATAGTTCCTACTTCTCCCCTTAAGTTCTCATTATGTTACCATTGGAACAGCATTGTACAACTATATATATGTAAGTTGTATTATGTTTATTAAATACAAACACTAACTCTATCTAACTGCCAGAACAAGTGGCATAAATGTTCAAAACTAATGGCAAAATGTTAATTGTCCTTGCCTTCTTGGCACCTTGGCATACAACTGTATATTGTCTTTCTTACAATAATTCTTATAGGTACTGAAACATAAAACAATCATACTTTATTTATTTCTATCATTCATTACATATAAAACAACTTTACCGAGTGAAAATGTTTAATAATTATATATATTTATTGATTTCGTTTCATAGTACTAGTTTGCTATAGCAAGTTAGCCTGTCGCTATAACGATAAGTGAATGTTCTTTAAGGAAAATAAAAATTCCGAAAATTATCGGAATATGAGAAGATAGGTCCGAAATTCCGTTTCCGAAGGCAAAATCGGACGGTTCGGACAATAATTCCGTTCCGTGCCAGCCCTATGTTGAACATATGACAAACATAAGACAAAAGTGCTTTAAGATAAAAACTTTGTCAAAAATTTCAGTTTTATAACTTGGGTATTATTAGGCACTACATACTACTTGTGTACATAAGTTATGTTAGAATATATTTTTAATTACAGAAACAAGTTTATAGAATCTGCAAAGAATATTATACAGTAGAGCCTTTCTATGCCTTATCTATATTCAGAACCTTTTTAGATTTAAAGGCCCGCATTGTGTTATCTTAAGATTGGGTAATGATTTGATTTAAAAGTGTTTTGTGTGAAATTATATATTGATTATCAATGTTGCAGAGCTAGGTCTGGTGACAGTATATTAGACTGGGACAGAGTGGTTAGCATGGCAGAATATCAGGGCATCAATGACAAAGAGGTAAGAACTGGAAGAAAACTAAATACATATGTAACCATGGGGGAGTGGACGTGGGTTACATTACAAATCGAATTAACAGAATAAGAATGTAAAATGTATTTAAAATGTATTCAACCCTATAATCAATCAAATGATCAAAATGTTATGCAAATGAGCTAATTCTCTCAACTGATCTTAATACTCAAGCTACCTAAATCACTAACTGATCTTGTATTCAAGCTACCTAAATCACTAACTGATCTTGTACTCAAGCTACCTAAATCACTAACTGATCTTGTATTCAAGCTACCTAAATCACTAACTCACTTAAGACCAAAACCACAAATGCTTAAGGCTGTGCACCTAGTTTGTACCCCAGAGCTGCAAATAAAAGTAATGTACAAATAGCTGTTTGTAAAGCAGGTAAAATACAATAATGAAACATACAGTTTTATGATAAACTTCTTAGTACTAAGGGCTATGGGACTTAAAGGGCCCTTATTCTGTTCCCAAGAAAACCCTTATACTGTGCTTGACGCACTACATACATTTCTCTATTGAAATTACCAAATATAAATATAATTCAGTTACTTTATGCAAAATGTACCATGAAGGTTTACAATTGAGCAATATAAAATAAAATGTGGAATGTACCTTATAAAATAAGCTATACAGTCTCTGAGTGCTAGCCATACATCTTTAGTACGCACACAGTGTCTCCTGTAAAACGTGTGTACCAAGATAAGTCATATGAAATGACATAAATGGTGGTTTTAATTGTAAATGAATAACGCACAGGTGCATGAAATGAACATCACCTTATGGACAATTGTTTCAACACATTGTTCAAGTTTTACAAAGAAATTACTCAAAAGTATTTGAAATACAAAATAATATTTACATCAAATTGGAGCTAAAGTTATGGAGAATAAAATGAATACAATTGGCATAATGTTGGCATATTCTAAAGGGTAAAAAGTGACAAAAATATATGAAAATTTCTTACCATGTCTTTACAGTTCAAAATCAAGGCTAGCACTGGTGATTTGGAAAGTAAATGCAATCAAGGTTAATCCCCTTGCATATGCACACTGTGTGTAAATCAAAGCTATTCTCCTAGCAGGGTTTGAAAATATAATTGAAATACATAAAAATATAACTCTCCACAGTAGGGTTTGAAAATCTAAAACATCCTGTCACACATATACACATACTGTACACATGTAAATAACATTTAATGTATATTGAACATCTCAAAAATGTAAACCCAATTTTTAGAGTGTACCATATGCAGCCTTTCAAATTTACTTATATACTAGTATTTGCGTAAGAGGACAGTTTTCATATTAAAGACAAAACTTAAGTTTTCACTTGTAATAGTTGAAAAATATATTAAAAGTAAGGAATTCTCATTCCAGGTCGGCCAGGTTATAAGATTCCTAAATGACCTTGGTGTAATACAGCACTTTGAGAAGCAGCGATTGAGGGACAAAGTGGTTATCAATCCCCAGTGGATAGTTGATGTCATGTCCTGCATTGTTTCTGTGCACGACAACATTATACAAGATGGAAAACTACAACATAAAGATGTCAGCACTATCTGGAAGAAATATCAACCTGAACTCCATGATTGGTTGTTGCATTTGACAGAAACGTTTGATTTGACATTTCCACTCCCGGATGAGGAAGCAAATATAGTTCCTTGTCTGCTTCCATCTGCAAGACCAAAGGTGATATATTTATAAGCAGTTTTTTAATAACTCACTCATTACTCAAATGATTGCACCAGTCTTTTGGAATGAGAAAAAAGCAAGCACTGTTTAGAATAATTGGTAATCGATTGTGAAATAAATAAAGATGAGTTAATTTCAATTCATCATGTTAGCTTTCGATGATACTTTCAGAATTAAGATTACCTAGATTGTATTCAATATTACAATACATGTGTTTTCCAGATACATTATGCAATATTATAGTGGTGTGCTGAACATCATATTAACCATACTCTTACTTTATTCCAGATTGACATGCCTTTACTTGGCCCTGAAGAATATGAGAGAAAGCTTGTCTATGTATTTGATTATTTGCCAGCTGGTCTCTTCAACAGAGTGCAGGTTAGTTCAATACATTATAGGTTAGCTTGATTTAAAGGCATATTCATCTGTACTTACGATATAGTTTAACATTTATAAATCAATATTTTATAAATCTTCAGTAGTTTGAACAAAATAGTTATTACACCATTCAATGAATGTTTCTGTTTTCTGATTAGACTGTATTTGATTATTTATGTTTTCCTTAATTTTGTTCATTAATTGATATGCTCTCATGTAGGTGCGTTTGTGTCAGTATACAGACAATGCCCTCATGTGGAAAAATGGCTCACTACTGAAAAAGAATAACCAGATGGCGCTCATAACAAAGTTTGAGTAAGTTGATCAGTATTTGATATTTTCTAACTCTTTAGTAATTTGTTTGATTTAATATCTTTAAAATCAATATACAATTAAAAGTACACAGATGACAGGCCCGTAGCCAGGATTTGCCAAGGGGGGTTCACTTTTTGAAAATTTCCAGGGGGTGTTCCTTTGTGACAATTTTGGGCCAAAATGGCCAAAATCACTTAAAAACTGCTCAGAATGGTGAAAAACTGCATGATTTTGAAAGATTTTTTGGCCATGGGAGGGGGGGGGGGGGGTTCGCTCGAACCCATGGAACCCCCCCCCTGGCAACGGGCCTGGATGAGTTTAGGATAATACTGTTATGTTATAGTCAGTCCAAGCTGCAAATTGAAGCTATGGGAGTGAAGCCAGACAATATGATCCTGCTCATACATGAGGTGATAGAGAGTCTATTGTACGAGTCATTCCATGGAGTCAAATACAAATACATGCTCCCATGTAAAGATTGTATCAAAGAGGTGAGTGCATGGCTTAAAGTCTTCAAAGAGGTTGTTATTGTACATGTACAAGTTATTCCATAGTGTTAAGTATAAATGAGTAGATGACCCTTGTATTGATTACAATTGATTGTTTATGCTGGGTGTTTATGTACCAACTATGATGATTTCAGGAGGTTAATTCTCCAATGATGTTCACCAGTGATATATTGAGAAGGGTGGTAGATAGAAGAGCTTTATTCCTACAATGTCACAAACATTTCCACTCAATATCTATACAAGAAGTCCAAGGTACACAAAATCTCTGATATGTGGCAATAATTTAATGTGTGCAATTTCTAGTGCTAAATACATGTTAGGAATAAAACAATAAATGACAGGATTGCCACCGTTTCAACACTAAATAATTAAACATATAGCAGAAATAAAATTTCAATGTCTTATCTAGTCATATATTGTATGAAGCTTAAACAGACGTGGGTTTCTCTGCTAATGTGCTTGTGAAAAGGCGTTTTTTATTGAGCTTTGCCTTTTGGTTTTTGTCACTTAAAAAATTATATCAGAACATTCTAGAGCTTACCAGGCACTTTCCATCCATATTCTTACCCTCTTCAATGTCCTCTTCTTTTTTGTAATCAGGCCATTCATCAGCTATGCAGTTTTTTTGAGTTTTGCCTTTTTTTCATGTTTCAGCTGCAATTTTGCCAAGTGATGCCAATGATTTTGATCTACAAATACAGAATGCTGTGCAAGGTTTAGATGACTTGAAGCAGAACTTCCTACATGACATATTCTTCCTCTACTGTCAGGCTGATATACCAGCTGATAAGTCTGATGAGAGCCAGCTTCATCCAGGAAAACTGATGAAAGATCTAGAAGAAGCTGGCTACTCATGTTGTTTCAAGGAAAATCTCACAAATGTTGATGTGGAGGATATCATGACTGCAATGCAAGATTCAAGGGTAAGTAATCTTAGACATGTAAGCCATGTTATGTTAACAAATGTGTTATGAGAAACCCACAGTAATAATTGATTTGAAATGATTTAGCTAATTTCATTAAGTTGTACATAATATACCTTGCGCTAGCCCTCTGCATTTCTGGTAACATTTTTATAGTCTCCAACTTTTTTCTCGATGGTGTTCGGCAGTTGGTGTTCAGCATTTGCTGTGTGTAACTAATGGCAGGTGGTGACATTTTGCATGTTCATACCTGTAATTCAGCTGTATGCCTTTGCATTGCAATGACTTGTCATTGCCAATAGCAGATTTGCAGATTATTAAAGGCTGCATTCTCATGACACCCCTTGATACATTGATACCTCACTTCTGTATCTCAAATACATGCATCTTTATTCTATACCTACCCCCTCTATATTTCCAGCATATCCTAGTATTCATCTCTACAGACTTTGTACATGATCCCATCTGTCAAAGTATGTACCTTCATGCCAGGAACTTTCTCCACAAGCCTACAATTCTGGCCATGGTGGGCACTAACAGGGACTGGCAGAACACAAACATTGGAATGATGGTCTCTCATCAGGTAATTAACTGAACTTTGAGATGTCTCAATGAAATTATCTTCTGTCAAGTAATGTCTCAGTCACATTTGATTTACGGCAACTGTATGTCGACAGGAGCTCTCAAAATCAAGAGAAATATGCAGCATAAGATATATGGATATGCAGTTCAATGTAGATTTGTAGACAGCCGTAGAGCAAATGTGACTGAGGCTATTAAGGAAGAAATTGGTACATGGTATTTTGATAATACCTCAGATTTCTTCATAACTGATAAATCAGATCATAGTCATGTTAACATGATTGAGCCAGCATTTGCTCACATAATCACATTTAATTCACCATTGGTAGATTTAGTATGGAAAAAATTGAATGGAAGACCAATGTTCATGTACATCTGTATTTTGATAAGTCCCAGTTTAACGATAGTTTAATATGAAATGTAACATGCCTTGATGTTGTAGGTGTATATTAACATGCAGAGGATGTCCCAATACCCTGACAAGCTAAAGGAACTCAAGAGCAGATTAACACAGAAGGCTGTCAAGAAGAACAAATCTGAGAAATTTGATGTGTTTCTGAGTTACTGCTGGTCCAACAGTGGTAGTGCAGTGAAGGCTGGTAAAGCTAGGGGTAAGCCTGGCTCTGTTGGGGCAGGGGATCCAAGGCTCTTGAAGGAACAGTTGGAGGCCAGTGGTGTCAAGGTTAGTATGTTACCCTTAATTCTTTAACTTGTCAGAGAATAGAATGATCTGTGAAGTGCGAAAGATAAGATGATAAATAATATTGTTCTTTCTTTTAATTGTAGTGCTGGTTAGACATAGAACAAGTTGGTGAGAATGGTCTATTTGAGGACATTGTGAATGGCATTAAAAACTCCAAGGTGATAATTGCATGTATATCAGATGAGGTAAGGTAATATAATATAAACAAAAATATATAAGGGTTATGTACTGGGAGGTTATGGATATGGGGTTTATCCAGAGGGAGATATGCATATCTACCTGAGAGACCGTAGGGACCGAAGGTAGATGTGCATATCTCACGAGGGATGAACCCAATATCCAAACCGACCGTACATAACTGCTTTATCCTATACCAAGTAGAGTTTCCAGGGGCATATGGCCATTTCAATAGTTCAAGGTGTAAAAATAAACAAATTATTCATATGCAAAGTCATTTTATTGCATTACCAGAAGCGGGAAGATATGCACCGAAGCGGGAGATATGGAGGTTCTGGATATGGAAACCTCAAAATCAGGATACGGGATATATCTTACCAACTTATCTCCCTAAAACTCTACTTGGCATAGGATAAACAAAATTTCATCATGTGATTTATTGGAATAAAATGAAAATTAATAAAAGTTTGTGTCATATCGCAACTTTGGCACTGCCAGGACATCTAGCATTTCTCTATTTTGGAGATGCACCATAAAAGGAAAATTTCATAACTCTACATATCTATTTTCCAGTATGTGAGCTCAGCCAACTGTCAAAGTGAGTTTAGGTTTGCCCACATAACTGCAGGTGCACCCATTGTGTTGGCTATAATGGGGACTGGGTGTAATTGGGAGGCTACAGAGGTAAACAACTGAAAGCGCTTTCGTAAATTAAAAATTTGTTAGGTTATTGTTCCTCTCACTATGACATCATAATTTCCATGGTTACACAGGTAACTTTAAGAAATTAATTCTTTGCATACTTAGATTTAAATAGAAATGTTGTATATCAGATGCAATATCCCTTTGTTGTGGTGGTGACACATTGTTATAGTCTCCACCTTTGTGGACGGCGGTTGGTGTTGGGCATTTGGCATCTGTAAGAAATGGCAGGTGGTGACATTTTGGATTTGAATGCCTTATTTGTACCTATATTTGCAGATTGGACTGTTGTCATTGGGATATCCGAAATATTCATTCCAAGCTCCCAACAATGCAGCATTCCCCCATTTATTAGAAACATGCAAGGAAACAATTCAAGAACTAAAAGAAAAAGAGACTGAAATGAACAAGAATAACACATCTGATGTAAAAACAAAACTGTCTCAGAATGCTTATCAAGAATTGTATGAGTTAGCTCAGAGGAAGTTCCTGAGACAGATCACAATGATCGATCCCCATCAAACTTGGCACAAACAATACCCACGGCTATTTGTCATTGATGTGTACAATGAGAGTAAGTCAGATACAAACACTATTCCCGATGAGAAGGATATTCCAGAAATGTGTTTCAAGTTTCTATGTGAACATGAAGGTGGATGGCATACTTCGAAAAACTGCTTTAGGATCAACCTAAATAAGGAGTCTGTTGTTGATCTATTAGAGCTGTGTGCACCTTACCTAGCTAGGATACACATGATACTTAAGCACAGTGATGTGGGCCTTGCATGCCTTGATGTACCTGCTGGCAAGCTCATAATGGAAACACTTGAACGGTAAATGACTTATCACCATGTATTAATCTAAATGTGAAAGGAACAATTACTGCATATAGTTATTGTAATATAATGTTTACCCATGAAACTATTCATAAATATACATTGCATATTTTGTAGTTATTGGCTCTGTTTAATGATTACCTCACTGGGAATTGTACAATATTTTGGACCAGATGTTAAGATTGAAAAAATGAGAAAGTATCTACACAAATCTAATGTAATCTGCATTATAGGTAAAATTACATTCCCATTTTAGATGGTTCTTGTGTACCATAGAGTGTATTGCTTTACTTCAGGAACACTGGCAATGTACAGTGTACCCAAAAATGTACCAGTATTACTTTCTTTACTTGCAGGAACACTGGCAATGAACAGTGTACCCAAAAATGTACCAGTATTACTTTCTTTACTTGCAGGAACACTGGCAATGTACAGTGTACCCAAAAATGTACCAGTATTGCTTTCTTTACTTGCAGGAACACTGGCAATGTACAGTGTACCCAAAAATGTACCAGTATTACTTTCTTTACTTGCAGGAACACTGGCAATGTACAGTGTACCCAAAAATGTACCAGTTTTTCTTTCTTTACTTGCAGGAACACTGGCAATGTACAGTGTACCCAAAAATGTACCAGTATTACTTTCTTTACTTGCAGGAACACTGGCAATGTACAGTGTACCCAAAAATGTACCAGTATTTCTTTCTTTACTTGCAGGAACACTGGCAATGTACAGTGCAACAAAGAATGTACCAGTATTTCTTTCTTTACTTGCAGGAACACTGGCAATGTACAGTGTACCCAAAAATGTACCAGTATTTCTTTCTTTACTTGCAGGAACACTGGCAGTGTACAGTGTACCCAAAAATGTACCAGTATTTCTTTCTTTACCTTCAGGCATACTGGCAATGTACAGTGTACCAAAGAATGTACCAGTATTACTTTCTTTACTTTCAGGCATACTGGCAGTGTGAACCAGTTGAATAATGTTTACAAGATCTTGAGGCAGCATATAATGCACATGGATGGAAACATACAGGCCAATGCCCCATATGGTGGCCTTGCAAGGTAAACATGGACATAAACAGTATATGCTAAAGAGGACAAGGTTTACTCATGTATATCAAGTCTTTTTTCCTCTCAAGCATTTCAGAAAAAGAGTAGGGGGAAGAAATTGGTACAAAACGTTTCATGGTGTGGTTAGAGGTTTATTTTTGTTACTAGTGTAGCTTATAAATTTGTTTCTTGTTTATCTAAAAAATACTCAATCTGCAAAAATAATGAGTTGGCAATACATTGTTTTTCTTGATGATTTATTGACCACCACAGTTGGTCACAGAATAACCTTGGCCTATATATCTGTCTTGGGCTCACATATTTAAAACAATGATTTCAATGCAATATTCAGTGGCTTTGAAGAGAACACATAAAACAGCCTGACCCATAAAGACCTTGACATTTCTCATTCAGTATTTTCTCAATGTGATTTAGATGTCAGATGCCATGGAGTGGTAAGATACTGTGGTTGTGCAAGGAGCACCAGGAAGAGACCAAATCCTCAGTGACCAGTGATATGGACCCTGTAGCTCCCTTTGATCACTGGAGAGAAGCTGCTATTATTGACCAACTTAAGAAATTGAGGGCAGCAACAGAGAAAAGTGAGATAATACTTAGGCTTACATTACAAAATACAAGTTATATGACACAAGTTACTGAAACTTGCATCCTTTTAAGGGCCGTTGCATTATGTCGGACTTACTATGTTTTTTACTGTTACAAAATATCTCTACTGTGACATGAATAATATAAAGGTAAAACCAAAAAAGGTATGTAAAACACTATGTCCCACAATACAATATACAACTTAAATGATCCACCCTGTGATCTACTCTACATCTTTATTTGTGAATTATATGGTATAATTCCAGCGTTATTAGAATGCTAAAATAACATCTTGTAGATCAAATATTATTTTCACATTATTATTAATTAAGGTGACACACATGGGGAGACCACAGAGAACATGAAACCAAAGATTATCAGAACAAGTCCACATTCTGAGTCGAGTGTAGACCATAACGCTTCAAGAACTCTACCAGAAAGCCCGATTCCAGATGAAAGCATGAAACGGAGTGACTCAAATGTCTCTAATGATATTGAATTCATTGATAGTGGAGAAGGTGTTCATATAAATGGAGACAGACGGAGAGATTTGATTGGTTCGCAGAATGATAGATACAGGCCTAAGAGAATGGCTGTAGCTGGAAAGGAACTAAGTAGAGCCTGCAGTATAAGCTAGTACTGATAAAAAGCATTATATTGAAATAAAACAACCAAAGATTAGCAGTCAAATATGATTTGAGAAAGAAATTGCTTATTCCCAGAGCTATGTACCGTCAAAAAGAATTGTAGGATTCTCATGTGTTTGTGTAGGATGCATTTTATGACATTTACGACATGACATATTATATTTTACTTGTGATATTGAAATCAATTGTGATATAATTCAACATACATGTACATGTATAATTGTACATTGAATGAGGCTATTTCATACTGTCTGTCTTTTGAATACATACACTGTAGTAGTATGAGGAATCATAAAGTACATGTATATGAATTCAACTTTTAATGGAAAATATGAAATGATCTGGCTGTTATCATGGTTGAACACATAACTTAACAGGGTATTATAAAATATATGCAATATTTTAAGACTACTTGTACACTGTTTTTACATTATACTATATTTATTGATAGCAAATAGAAATATATCAAATTATATTATTATACATAAAATTTACATGTTGTGACATATTATATAATATAATGTTTTCATACTTTTGAAATACGCATATACTGTTTACATTCACCATAAATACTCCTGTTTAGATCCTAATTTTAATTAAATGTACATATTGCTCACAAAGAATTGTAATAAATATTTTGGAATACAATCAATCATATGTATTAGTTTCTAGTCTATTTGTTATTTTATTTTATATATATCTAAACCTTCATACAATTGATAGGATATTTAACACGAAACAAAAATTTGATTGTTCATTCTGCTAAAATGAATGATGTTATACAGGTATGATTACCAGAAAGCAAAATGTGTACCCTAGGATCTTGTGTGGTTACTTATCAATATTCATGTCAGCGCAACATAGTGGTGGTAAGCAAAATCGAGTTCAATTGTATTCTGCAAAAGTGGATTTTAAGGACGAAAGATGGCTATATTGTATATTTATTGGGTAAAGGTACCAGAATCTTAGTCATGAGAAAATACCATTAAGAATCGACTTAAAGTTTAATTATGTCACCACCAGAAGTGGTGACATATTGTTATAGTCTCCAACTTTTTGTAGATTATTGATTTTTGTGGCACTATGACAATAGCACCTGTAACAAATGGCATGTGGTGACATTTTGTATGTCTTCGTTTCTGCCCTCACTTGTGGAAGATTTGTTTTTTAGAATGAAGATCAAGAAAAGGGAATGACATGTTCTGAATCAATTAAAATATTCTCTCATGTTCTGTTTCCCATTGGTGACGAGGGTTTGAGGGTATACAGCAAGTATTAAGTATTGAAAGGAGAAGATATTGGTGAGACTTTCAATTGACACCATGCACTCATTTTCCATGATACCATACCAATAACAACTGAATTTGTGTTTATTAAATTAGACACCTGTTTGAAATATCTTAAAGGTCTAAAATTGTTACCATGAACATTGATTGTAAACAAAATTCACTTAATGGCATGAAATCTTACTAACATATCTATTATCTTTCAATTCACATAATAGTAAAACAATCTGTATCAATATATATTCTGATTGAATATCTCTAGACACAGTTTTCGTTCCATGTGGCACCATTGCAGCACAGTTCGTCATCACCTTGGACCTGAAGAAATGTTTTTTATAAAATATATTTCATTGTACATGTAAAATGGATTTTCCTCCTGAAATGCTCAATTTTGTTGAAATGATATCTAAAGAACTCCACACACACCCATAAACAGCTGGTTTGACAAAACTTTTTGCATCGACATTGTACATTAAATGTATTTTCCTCAATAGAAAGTGATGTTTAATGGTTAGTTATTCCACAATATATACAAACCTAATATTGGACACCACAAATATTGCTTCATTATTCTTTCACCGACTCTTATAATGAGGAATGAACTTGAGTCAAACAATGTTCACAAGTTTTATCATCTATCATAGAGAAATTCATATGTACCTCTGGGAGTGTCACCCACCAGAAATCAGCTCCAACACATCCCTCAATTCTACTAAATACCTCAACAAATTGGCCTGGAGGGTCCGTTATGACGATATTTCCATCGTCATTGATCATATCACAGTAGGCAGCACCTCTGGTCCAAGTTGCATTTTTCTGTGGTAAAATATAGGTATTAAACATATACTTCAGTGTATGAATAGCAGTTACAACTTGTTTAACAAATCTAAAATATCTCTAGGGGTTCACTACATCACATATAAACATTGACAGGGGATCCTCAGCTCATGTGTGGTATCTTTTTATGTGCCTACCACAAGTGGTGACATATTGTTAAAGTCACCAACTTTTTTGTGAATGGGGTTCAGCAGTTGATGGTTGGCATCTGTAACAAATGGCAGATGGTGACATTTTGCAAGTCAATCCCTTGTTTAACATTTTGTATGGCAATGGACCAAAATTTTAGCATATTTTGAAGTATGCCAATGTAGAATTTTTCGTTTTTCATTGGATTCGGACATTTGGTATGGCATTGGACCACTATTTGGTATGGCGTTTGGGAGCATATTGATATCTAAGGGTTCAGCCTAGTCTGCATACAGTGAACCCCCCCCCCCCCGAGATGCAGGGATATTATATTGTGTTACATAGTTTATGAGTCCACTGATGTTTAGGGCAGGATGGGTTCCAAATGCCCCCTCAAGTATACATGCGTCCTCACAGTCATTGAGAGCTTGGTTATCACAGGAAGGGCCATTGTCAGCATCACCCATTAACTCTAGCACTGGGGAGAGGTTGAGGTAGTCATCTTCTACCATTGCAGCACACTGACACCTATCATTGAGATGATATTTAGACAAAACAAAATAAACTTGTCAATATTGAACTCGATCATGTATGATGTGGATTATCTCTGCGAACTTATTACATATAGTATTCCACCAAAAAACAAGGTTTGAATACTCGATCAACTTTTTGGTTCAAAGTCCTATATATTATTTGATATTATTTAAGATGCTTATCAATTTTCAAAATTTGTACCCACTCACCTGGTCTGGGCCACTGCACCCTGAACAAGCAGTAGGAGAGCAACTGGATAGAGCAACATCATACAACCTGGCAACATGTTATGTACAGATTACATAATTAAATCCTACCATTTTCTCTGCAGATTTATATTTGTATTGACCTGATAAGGTTTAAACAGGCAACATAGTGATTAGGGGGCAATAGGGACATTTCAATGTCTAGAAGCTTTAAAGAGGGAATGTGTGTTTTCCTGTGTATAAGAAATTCCATGAACATTGATATTTTGATCTGGTCCCTAATTAAGACTTTATTACCAAAAAGAGCTCTCTGGCTGCCAAATCAAAATATAAAAATAATATGTACTGGGTTTTTCTTTTTTCTTTATTCTAGTCTCACTTTATCATGTCTACTTGAATGATGATACAAGGAACTTTAATTGTTTTTCAACATCAAACAGCTGTTCATATTGAACTATAAAAGCTATGAGATTGATTGTTGGTTTAGGATGGGCAAATCTTCAGATTCTTCAGAACTAACCATTCGACACTTATTTTAAGTGGTCAAGAATTTTTATGACATGAACAAATAGTCTCTCTTGTAGCGCATGTAGTGCAAATCTTTAATCTGTATTCATCAGCCCAGTTTTTGAAAATAAAGTGAAATATTGATTCTATTTATGATTGTTGAAACATATGGACTTACCAATTTCACCTTTTTAATAAAAGAAATTAACTAAAACAATCACTGATAAGTTGTAGTTTACTTCAGGGTTGGTCTACTCAAGAAAATATGGCAAGTTCTCACATCATGTACAGTAGTTATAGGATTTTAGGATGTTGACTTTATGAGCCAAGAGCAATGCAATTGTGCTAAATAAAAAAATAAAAAAGCCACAATTTATTTGAAATGTATTTATTTTATGATATTTTTATTAATGTTTATTTTGCAACAAGTACAAAAATAGATCACAAACAAAAACACAAAATATTCATAATGTTGTACTTTTTGATCAATTTTCTACTGAATTGACACAGACTTGATATTGAATTATTTTGTTTATCATTGTCCCAGAAAAGTCATCTTTTGAAATAACATAAGCTTATCATTTGACAGCAGACTGCATTTTTCTTCAGTCTCTAAGGTCTTATCTCATTGAACTAGTACATAACTACACCACTGATACACTGTACATACATCTGATGTGGACCAGCCACAAGTAAAACATTATTTTTTGCGACAAAATACTCACTGATAAGACTCAGTCTATATGCTCTATAAATACAAATATAAAATTTCATTATGAATCAAACTATGGTCAACTAGAGCCTGGACGGAATTTATAATATATAATTTGCTAATAAAAACATGAACTTGATTGCTATAATAGTTTAAAATACATCTAGGGTACCATCATGACTTTGCAAATGTACAAAATGATGTATACTATTGGAATGTCTTGTTGGCATCCAAAATATACAAAAGGGTTAATACAGTACATATATCCAACAATACTACAAATGCTATTATGTAGTTTTTGGGGTGACATTCATTAAATTAATTGCGTATATTAAATACAATCAATTTCTCACATCAAATGAGAAATGATTTTTATAAACACCCATGAGACGTTGAATTACATTTACATGCAAGATACCTTATATAAAAAATATTCACATTATTAACACATAATTGCTCTTCTAAATGCCCAGCACAAATATTTTATGTACATGTATAATTACACTTTTCTGCAGTATTCATCAAACCTTTAATGATGTTCCATTTGCCACTGAGAATGTTTATTTTTTGTTTTTCTATAATCAACATTTAACTGTCTGTTGAGTCAGCAGGTTTTGCATCTTCACTCTTTTCACTAACTGTCTTCTCTTCAATATTTGCTTCTTGATCAACATCTTCCTTTTTCTGTTCCTCTTCTCTTTTCCTTTGTTCTTCATCTTTCTTTCGTTGTTCCTTCTCTTTCTTTGCCTCTTCAGCACGTTTCTTATTCTCCTCTTGTTCCAGTTTCTTTGCCTCAGCAGCCTTCTTCTTCTCCTCAGCTTCAAATTTCTTCTGCTCCTTGATGGCCTTCGCCTCCTCTATAATACTTCCAGCCTGGAATGAACACACAATTGCACTGGGAGCCAGGACTCATATAGATGGCATTTCACAAATTATCTCTAGTAGGTTGTTCATGAATCTCCCACTGATTCATGTGTAAAATTGCTGTCTTAAAACTTTAAATACACTAAATAAATTAAATTGATTTCACATTTTCTCATCATAACTATTTACTCAAACTTTTAAGTCTTGATATCATGAGGTTTTGGATATTTTATTTAAATTTAATTTAGGAAATTTTTAAGATCTTTTACATGTTTAAGTATACAATGAAAGCCAATTTTTGGCTATTTATTGATAGTCTTTAAGGCCATTGAATCTGTCAAATGAACATGGGATTTTGCCATTTAAGTTAATGGGGTATAAACATGCTTCTTAGATTATAACCATTATCTACGATGTACATTTCTATAAATTAACTTCATTCCTTCCCAATATCTCTGTATTAACTCCAGTTCCTGTTTCACTTCCAAACATAGACTCATGGGGCATTATATGGGAATTAACCTGTTGAATTGAGCAATGATGAGGATGTGATAACACTGGTCACTTGGTTATAACATGAGCTATAAGGATCAATTCTGTCACAACTTACCCAAAGGAAGAATGTAGCAGCCCCTGCAGAGACATCTCTTACTTCATCCAGGCCATGCTGTTCTAGGAGATCAGCCGCTCTTGCAGTAGCGGAGGAGTCTACAGTGTCTGGTTTCAACTCCAAACAGCGGCGTTTCAAACCATCCTTTCCTGTTTTACCCACCAATGCTTGTACTGTCTTCCAGACCTGAAACATGATGGGATATTGTTATTTTCAAGTTTAATTAAAGGGGTACAAAGATAATTTTCCTAACCATTATATTCGAGTATTTTTAATGAGATAAATCATGTGAGATAAAAAATAAAGACAACATGTCTACCTTGGTTTCCTTCTCTTTGTGTCCCAATAGCAGGAATGTGGCTGTCATTACTGTATGCACCACAGGTGGGGGTTTGTGGTAGCTTCTGATCTCAGCCACTGTAGACTGTTTTAACTCCAAGATTTCTGCTCTTATACGCTCCAAACGCCTCAATTGGAGCATCAGTTTGTTAGCATCTACTAGCTCATTGGCAAGTTTCACTTCAAAGCCGCTCTTTTTCAAACTGTGAACAGCGCCCTCTATCTCCTTGAGATTGCGCCGGCGCATAGCACCATTAAGATCTAAAATGAAATTTAATTTTTAGTTTTAATTTTAATCGAGCCCAAGTAACATAAATGTATTTTACTTCAGAATCTGCATAAGCAAATGTACTTAAATATAATTTCTGTTTGGCCTTTTCTTACCGTCTCTGGACTTGAAGAGTTTAAGCATCTTCTCTCCCTTAGCAAGGTCTCCCTCGTCATCAGGCAGCTTCGCTTGTTTGAAGTCTCCCACAGCTTTTTCCAGTCGTGGCTTCTCTCTCTTTGTAATAGCAATTTTTAAGTTGTAGCGTGTCTTCTTATTCTTTGACTCTGCAATTCAAGTCATCCAGTGTAAATGGACATAATAGTTCATGCATTATTAGTGTTCACCACATTGAGTAAGAGTATATCGAGCCTACTGTCCAATTTAGTCTAATTCTCCCAATTTTCCAAATGGAAAATGATAGTGCACTAAAGAGAACTGACTGAAATTCATGCTAAAGAACTGACTGAAAATGAATAATGTAGCGAAAACATATTTTCATAATCCTCCATGTCCCTGTTATAACCATATTCTATATCAGTTACCATTACAGTTACAGTTAATATTACTCTCAGTTGATTTTTTTTAAATTTTATAGTCAATAAATTACATAAAGGTTCTTCAAAGTTGTTTATACCCTTAGCTCTATTCCTAGCTTTCTTGGCAGCTTCCTCCGCAGCTTTCTTTGCTTTACCATCTTTGGCCTTCCTCAGTTCCTCTTCTGCCTTTCTCATTTCTTCCTCCGCATCCTTTTCATTCTGCTCAGCATTCTAAACAGGATCAATATGACAATGTAAATGTTTATTAGTTGTTTATTTCCACCTCACATTAATTATCATTTCCACCATCCTCTACTCGATCTTTGCTTCCCTACCCATATTGACCCATAATGGGGCTCATATGCATCTGTTACTGTACAAAAGATAAATATTTGCTATGGGTAAGGGCTCTAACTTAATGGTGCAGAATTAGAATTACATTCATCAGGTTTCATTGAAATCTGTTTGCATTTGGATATTTCTGTATTTACCCTTAAAGTTTTCTCATGATCCTTTGCTTCTTCAGCCTCTCTTGCTCTGCGTGCTTCATCTTCCTTTGCAGCCTGCTCAGCCAACTTCTGTAACCTTTGCGCCTCAAGCAGCTCCTCCTATAAAATGGGGTTTACTTATTCTATCACAGGGACATGGACGAAGATGGTGAATATAACATTCTATTTTAAGAGAAGCTATTCAATTTCTAATTGTCTATCCGAAAAGGCACCATATTTTATAAGAGGTCTGTTTTCAATAGACATTGACTGTTACAATACATGAAAAGCAACATGAATAGCAACTTCTTAATACTGTATGTGCATAAGCCCTTGGACCATTAGAGCACAATATATCATTCACAAACAATATAGGCTAGCATTTTCTACATAGATCATACATCAAACTACATAGTCAGCAAATAAAAGTTGAAAAAACTTTTAAAGAAGTTAAGATTTCAAACTAACTAATCTAGTTCTACACTGCAAATCTTAAATCTACTATCATACTACCAACTTATTTAATCAGAGAATTACAGGAGTAATGTGCGAGTCAAGACTGTTAATAGGGGTATCAGCTACTGTGTTAGTCAGAGGTGCAATAGTAGTTTCTATGTTAGGTTCTGGTTGAGTAACAACGCTATCAGGCTCAGAGGTCTGCTCATCCACATTTTTAGTATCACCCTTCTGGCTCTCAGCCTCCTGGTAATGGCAACACACAAACATAGAAAGCTGAACACAACATATCACAATACAAGATGGTTGTGCTGCATAATTGTGTTTTCTCATTGATTGTTCTCTTTAAGAAACACAATTGCACTGCAACAATTTTCATTGATTCAATGTTTTGCATATCATACATGGCAGGCAAAACCTATGATGCTATTAATTTGTGTTCTTTCATGCAAATACTAATTTACATGTATGCAATATATGATGAACAAATACATGCTAACCACATTGACCTCACTGACTAGCAGTTTTCCATGATCAGTATTTTAATTTCAATCTGTTGAATAATTGAGATACAAGCCTCCATGTACAGATGTAAGAAGATTGTTATTGTACTCCGTCTACCTTAAGTAAACTGCCAGTTAATGAGGCCAAAGTGTTAACTTACATATGTGATTATTCCTCTAATACAGTGATGCTATCGAGTGGAAATATAAAGCATTAGACAGAACACTAGTGGCTTCCAAATGGAACACATAAGGCTTAACAAAAACACACGTTTATGTAAGAAAGCTATAAGATAAAACTAAGACGATACAAAGAAATACTCAGACATTAAAATACTACAGAAAATCTGCAAGTGCTATGTTACTATGTGAATGAACTAACAACTAAGAGTAAAAGTGTGCATTTAAAACACTACATGTTATGCATCCTCCAAATGCAGTGGTCCAGACATAATCCACATTGTTCCTTTCTACTTCTCCAAAAAGAAACTAATGAATGAGTTCTAGATCTGTACCCCTGCACTTAGAGAATGTAACTAATATGTCAGTAATCATATATTAGATTTAAAACAAAAACTTATTTCTTCAGTTGACAATTAAGTCAACAATGTACATGTAAGTCAACATTGAAATTGTATACTATGAGTAATGAAGCCAGAATTGACATGTATAATGTTTTGAAGTGAAAGCAACCCCTACAATACTACAGTGTATAATAAAAATGCCTGTAAGCAGCAGTATGAATGTGTTTGGCATCTGAAAGCTAAATGCTGAGCAAATTGATAAACAAATTGCTTAGCAAATTCATATAATATTGTTCTAAGCAGCACCACCTTTTTGGCAGGATCCTGTACGTCCTGATTCTCCTACAAAGGAAGATGGGCTAATCAACAAGTGAATGTGATAGACATGATTATGTAACCATACCTAAAATAGAACAATATCAGTGTATTATCAGTAAGATAATTAACACGTAAGACACAATTGACATAAATACATCTGAAACGACAACTTTGCACAAACCATGAACTTTTTATAACAAAACCTATCTTCAAGGTGTTTGTATTTGCAACACTTTGAATATAACATGAGTGAATTCAATTATAGATAAAATCTTTGAGGCTGTTTCAATTTCAGTATTTTGGACTGTATGGGGCTCTTGCCATACCCCTGATTTTGAATCTTTCTCTTTATGACTATCCTTGAATGACACCTTCCTCATTGGCTTCTTGTTATGGAGTCTTTCAGCCTGAAAAACAGTTCACGCAGGGTTTTATTTTATGCAGCATAGGAACATCAAGTATATTCTATAATTTTTAAACTAAGATCAGAAATACAAAGAAAATAGGCAAGGTAGAGAATGGAAATAATTATAAAAAATAAACTTCAATATACATATTAAATATGAACATATTTTTATGAGATTCCTTCCTTCATAAATTCTTTTTACCTCATATTTCTGAGCTTGTTGTTTGGAAACCTGCATCCAACCTTTTTCCAATTCATCATACTCGTGCCATTTGCCATCAATCTTGCGAATCTTCTTGGATGCCATTCCAGGCACCCCCTCTGTCTATATTACAAAGAACGCATCCCATTAAACCCAACGCAATCATTTGAATATTTCAGAAATAAATGTATAGTTTGTCAAATAAAAACGTTCTTCTCTCTTGTTTTCAAAAATGCACTGTTTTGAAGTTTAAAATGTTTTCAACATTAAATATTTTCATATTTCAATAGTGTCATATTGTCACAGTTGACAAAAATACATCTGAACTGACAACTTTACACAATCATGAATATCACTGTCATTGTGACTGAATGTTACTAGAATGATTTTGCATTTCATTTAATGTAATACAACTACATTTCAATGATTTCATACTTTCATACATGTGTTATAAGAAGCCTGATTTTACTTACATCATACTTTTTAGCCTTGGCCTCATCAACTGGGAACCATTTGCGCTCTTTTATGTTGTACTCGTGCCATTTGCCGTCAATACGTTTAACTCGATGTTTGCGTAACACATGAAGAACATCCTGCAATTATATCAAACATGTTTGTAATTTCTGTAAACCCATGTGCATTCTAAACCATATAATATGTATGATATCCTTTCCAGAGAATTAAAGCATGCATGAATTAGTAATTTGTTTCCACTGCCAGATCAATTACTATAATGTAACAGAAAAACCTCCTCAGACACCATCAAAGTTCTGAAATCATCCAAGTGCAAATCTTTTTGAAACATCTGAGTCGGAGACAAAAAAGTGTTCAACAGATGACTTACATTATATTTCTTTGCCCTTTCTTCAGAGACAGGCACCCATGTTGAGGTGGAATCATCCCACTCGTGCCACACTTTGTTGATTCTTTTCACTTTCTTGGTCTCTGGCATGCCATTCTCCTGAAGACAAAAGAGAAAATAAAAGTTGCCCCTAATGAAGACAAGATCCAGTTTAGAAAATAAAGGAAGGCTTAGTTTATTATTCTCTTCTTTTTTGTAGGAATTCCAAGAATAATTGGGCTTATTTATTGTTTATTCTATGGAGACTGGCATCATCACATTCTTTCAGAGATATGACTATCAGTATATGTATGTTCATGTATTGCTAGTATATGAGAAAAGAAAAAGAAATATTTGGCAGACAAGGTAAATATAACTTATCTGTATATACAAAAATTCTCATAGCAGAAGATAGGAATCCTACCATAATATGCCCATATGACTTTTTAGGATTTACATTCAGTGAAAAAATCAAGCATTTTGTAAATCAACCAAAATCAGATCACTCACATCATATGTTTTATTGGTCTCCTTGCTTGCTTGTTTCCATTGTTGAGTATGGGGGTCCCATTCTTCCCATTCCCCATCCACCTTGCGTACCTTATTGGTCTCCTGTATGGGAACACCCTCCTGTGAACAAGTAGAATTGCAATTTTATTTTCATCTCATCATTCATTGTTACAAGAGTGAATTATTTATTAACACTACAGTTTATATCTGAGGGGTGAATGGTTTGTTTCCAGTCATTTTCGTTTCTTCCAAATATGGATGCTCACCTCTTCATACTGTTGTACCCTTAAAGAGGGGGCATCCTCCCAGGAGTCAGTTTCCTCATTGTATTCCTGCCACTTGTTGTCATGCAGACGCAGCTTCTTACCTTCACATGCAACTATTTCTGCCTGTAATTATAATTCTTCAATGTTTTAACAGACAACCTTAAAATGTAAAGCAATAAAAATGGACACAAGTTTTGAGGAATAATTTGGTCTTTATGTTTTGTGTGATGTTCCCTTTCAACATTTCCTCTGCCAAAATCAAACATTTCCACATCCTCACTAAAAAAGTGTTTAATGGGCAAAGGAACATACATCTGTACAAGTATATCCTATTAACAAAGGCCCTGAAAAATGTTTTGTGCTTGGTAATACCTTCTTATTTAAAAATTTGGTTGATGTTTCATTGAAGTAATGATGTTTGTCAATAAATGATACAATGAAAATCTTAGAATAAAGTCTTACATTATACTTGTCTGCCTCGGCATCAGAAACATCTTCCCATTCTTCTGCTCCCTCCTTCTTCTCTTGCCATCTACCATCCATGAACCTGACTTTCTTAGGCTCATATGACATGATGTTATCCTGGAGGAACAAAACAGATAGCTTGGCACATGTTTATTTTTTCTTCTTAGGTATGTGAATGTGATGCTTGAAATAGGTAGCCGCAACCATATGTTTTAATGTTCAATGAATGAAATTTCATGTATATTTCTTCTTCTTTCTTCTCTGTTTTTACCATTTTGAATGCACTGATCATAGCTATAAGCTTTTATTAGGTTGGTTGAAATTTGGAAATAAATCAAATTGACAACACAGGAAATTCCAAATACCTCTGATTTTTTCTCCTTGTCTTTGCCAGAGTCTTGCCACTGCTTGGTGTCCTCATTCCACTCCTGAATGCCACCCTCATGTAATCTCAGCTTCTTGCCATGGTTGGACAGGTTCTCCAGCTGAACATTAAATTTACAATAAAATACTTCATTAAAATGGTTTGCAACGATGATAACAAGAGATGAACACAGCTTATATCACAATGAATGTATTCTATTTTCAAGCACACAAATAAAATTATTAAACATTTAAAAAATGTACTATTAGAACTAATAAAGTTATTTAACTCGGTGTGTTTTTGCTTATCTACTAACTGTATTGATTTCTCTACCTCATATTTGTTGGCTTGAATTTTAGAAACTTTCTTCCACATCTTCTTCTCCTCATCTCTCTCATGCCATACGCCACCTATCTTCTTGATTTTCTTGGTCTCCATAGTTGGTATGCCAGCCTAGGAACATTGTGAATAACACAGTAAAACATGTACTGCATGTAAATACCCCAAAAGATGAATATCTCTTGGTCCCCATTAATTTCCCTATTATGAGAGCCTCATATAGGCAGTGTTCATTTTAGAACGGTTTCACTGTTAAAACATTGACTCATTCATCAGCTTACATAATTATTCATATTACTATGCAAATGCTCTTTTTAGTATACTACATGTATATACATCTCTAATGAATTGTTTTAAATGACTCAGAATTTTGTCATAAGTTGTCTGCATTTTGAAATTCTATGTACATACCGTATGTAAACAAAGGGCTCTTATTATTCCCCATGCAAATATGTTTTGAAATTATAAGAAGCATATTCATTTTAAGATAACAACGCAAGTCATGTCAATGTATCATAACGGCACATACATATCATATCATACATGTACTCTGTGTGTCTTTATTGTCACATATTATATCAACTCTCATAAAAACATACAGACACAAAAACATCAATAGTTACCTCAATCTGTTTCTTAGAACCAGGTGTGACTTCGGACCAGACTCCATTGTCACCTCTCTCTTCCCATTTGTCACCTCTCTGCCTCACATCCTTGCTATCTAATATCTCCAAGCCATTCTATAGAAGAATATACTGGTCTATACTACAGTTGAAACATAACTTTTACTTTTCACTTTTTACTTCCTAGACAATTTGGTTTCTCATTAAGTAGCTTAAATAAGTGCAACATTGGCTTCCGAACCAAACACTTTAATTCTGGTGATTTTGGGACTGATCATTGAGACACCAAAATGTTCATGATGCTAAATTAAAGCTCACTTTGATAAACCAAACTATTCTGGTCAAACTTTACATAAATCATGATGATTCTAGTCAAACCATGCATCATATTAATTTCTATTGTACATGTTTGTACCTGTTCAATATTCTCCACATCAGCTGCAGACATCTCTTTCCACTGCTGAGTTTGTGGATCTTTCTCTAGCCATTTTCCCTTACTATGTCTCACCTCCTTCACTACATGCATATCCCCAGCCTGAAGAAAGAAAGATATCATTTGTACACAAAAGCGATACCAAATCAATTGAAAAAATAACCTATTATTCCCAATGATAGTCTATGATAATGTGAATTCTAATCACTCTTTAATCCAATGTTCATTTCACCAAAAGACACGGTTAATGCTTCAAATTTTACAAGTGCATGGGGAAATGGGACCATAGTATATTATAAATAAAAGATATACATAAATACAATACTAAGTATGTACAATGCAATATTTGAACTTTATTCTATAAAACAAGGAAGATTTAATTCATGTCCATCACTCTCCATATTTCAAGATTGCTTTAATGTATTCACTCACATCATATTTCTTAGCTTGGTGTTGGGAGGCAGGGTTCCATGTGTTAGTGTTAGGATCTAGCTCATGCCACACTCCATTCAGCTTCTTCACACGCTTACTGCCATTTACCTTTACTTTCACCTAAAGTAGGGATCGAAATACCAAAATATACAAAACTTTAAGCTTTTGCATGAGGAAAATAGTAAATTACTTTCATTTAGTTTGGTTGGTTGTTGGTGAAAATAAAAAACTCATCTAATACTCTTATGATATCAGAACCCTTTGAACACCTTTCAGAACAAACATTTTTGCTGGTCCCATAGTTTTTATTAACTTTAGATTGTTTTTCCAATATTTTTTCTTGTTTCTTACATTGAGCTTCTTGGCTAAGTCTTCACTGACTGGTCTCCACTGGCCTGTGGTTGTATCTCTTTCTGTCCATTGACCATTTATCAGCTTCACTCTCTTGCTTTCCTCAACTTTAAGACCATCCTTCTGTAAAGCATAAATCCTCGATAATACATGAATAAAAAAAAGACTATTTCTTATTTCAAAGCAAATAAGTACAAGTACATTTGTGTCATTCACCACTTCTTGGTGGTGACATAACAAACTATTACCACATTCACTGCTGAAAATAGAATGCGTTCCATCTGACAAAGTACTGTATTAGGTTTAAAATTATAAATAAATCCTGATATAAATCTTTGAACAACAAGCAAGAGTGAGATATAGAATACAGAACAGATTATCAATACAGGTTATTTACTTCAAGCTTGCTGCTTTCTCTCTGGCTTACTGGCTTCCACTTCTGTTGGGCATCATTCCATCGTTCCCATTTACCATCTTTCTTCCTTAGCTTCCCAGCCTCGACCACATATATGTCGTCATCTCCACGCTTATCCCTGATGCCTGTGCGCTCTTTGTTCATGGGGCGGTCCTTGCTAGATGGACGATCCTTGCTAGATGGACGATCCTTGCTAGATGGACGATCCTTACTAGATGGGCGGTCTTTACCAGATGGAATATCATTGCTAGATATCTTCCGTGATCTCTCTTTATTCATTTCTCTCTGAAGTTTATCTGAGCCATCTGTTACACCCAAACCCTCTTCCTGCAAGCCATAGTTATAATATTATAATAAAAACAGCACATTTTTACATATTCAAAAACTATAATAAAATCAAACAAGGGATTTACATGCAAAATGTCACCACTTGCCATTTGTTACAGACCCCAACCACCAAACACCAACTGGTGAACACCATTCATAAAAAGTTGGCGACTATAACAATATGCCATTACTTATGGTGGTGACATAACAAGAGAAGAGAATGACAATAATTTAGAAATAAGAAGTATCGCAATTGGCAACCCTGTGAAACTGTAGTTACCCTGAGTTGTTTAGCTACATGTTTGTCCACCTCTGTCCAAGTATCAGGATTCTCTTTGTCCTGTTTGTACCAGACACCATCGTGTTGATGAATCTTTATTGGATCCACAGTCTCTATGCCTCCCTAGTGTAAATACATATGTTATTTAGCCAACCACACAAATTCCAATTAGAAGTACACATTATATATAGTATATTAAGGAGTAGATCAACTTCAATGCTATGTTTGCAAAAAATCTTAAGTCCAACTGTATACTTTATAAATCTTCTAATATTTATCAAATCTACATCGCCTTCATTCATATCACTGAGGTTTAAATGTATAGTGTTTCCTTGAACTAGGCCTCTAGGAAAGATTGGTACAGCATGTACATGTATAGGGAGAGTAAGGGAAAGCAATATTGCAAACCTGTAATTTCTTTGCCTGATCAGGTTTCACAGGGATCCACTTGTCAAGCTTGCTGTTGTACTCCTGCCATTTGCCCCCAGATAGACGTACCTTCTTGCTATCCACAGCTACTAAGCCAAACTGCAAAATGTACAGAAAAATATGTATACAATGTACATCTCTCAAGGTGAACTCATGTTTATAGTATCTTTTTTGTTGTTTATGTGAAAACATTTAACCGGTCACAAGTTCCAGACAAGGCTTTACAATTTGTCTAGTAAATAGGAAATTACATATAAATACTTAAGACTACTGTAGATTACATTCACGCTTTACACTTCTTTATAAATGTGCAATTACATTGTAAATAAGACTTGATAGACTATACATGTAGAAGACATACAAACTAATTAACGTATACATAAATATATTGGGCTAGACTTGGGATAATTTATGCAATGTCATTCAAAATTGAAACTTCTGATTGGGTTCGAAGCCGAGACGCCCGGATATGACCGAGCAAAAGCCGGAATTCACATGATTTTTCGCAAAGAAGGGGCGGAGTTTAAGCGAGATTCATCGAGACTTCTTCGTGTCAATTGTGTCAATCCCTGCATTGCTTATTGTAAACTCCACCTTTTTGCCCATATATGGAGATGCCACTTGTTTGTTCATAAAAAGAAAAGTACAACAACAACCTAATGTGGAGGTCTTAATAATGTGGTTAATACCAACCTTGTCTATACTCTCTTGTTCGTTATCAGGTAACACTTCCCAGTGTCCGGTCTCTTCATTCTTCTCACACCATTTACCATCTATCTTCTTCACACAGGCAGGCTTCTCCTGCAAAATTAAATTTAATATTTTGAATTGGTGCAACCATAGTTTGTCAAACTAGGATTTAATATTATAAAAGATAGTATATAAATCACAATACCACAAGCAACTACTGATACTGTACGAATCTAAGGCAGTCGTTTTAACTGGTTAGCCATGGAGGAGACTGAAGGTAAATTTAGTCACTAGGGCTTGGGTTCCATTGCCTACCCATGGGTAAATACAAGTGAATTATTAATCCTGACCTTATATTTGTTGGCTGCCTCTTTTGACACTTGTTTCCACTTGTTGGTTTTCTTATTCCAAACTTGCAACTTCCCATTCACTTTCCTCATTCTCTTAGGTCGTAAAACATGGATACCCTCCTGGTGAAAATATACAAGCAAAAATATTTCATAAATATATATTTTTTTTTTTAAATGTTTATATAACTATGTTTTAAGAATTGGAGTAAATTATAATAACAAGGGCAAAAAAATGCTAATTTCTAATGAGTTTCATTACTGAATACCTTCATCTCATACCTCATTGAGTTTCCTAGCCTTGTCTGTGCTCAATGGTTCCCATTTTCCTTTAGATTCATTCCATTCATGCCAATGGTTGTTCAACAATTTCACTTTCTTCTGTTCTTGAGACATTAATCCATCCTAGAATAACATAAAAGTACATGAAGTGGCATCCTATCCTTTATATGAGCTTCACTCAATCTACACTTTAAATTTGAGAGAAAATTCTTCGATCTCCATGTTGCCTACGGAATATCTAATCAGAAGGTGAAGAAAGAAAATCAGGACAGCATTTTAAACATAAAGGTAGCAAGCACTCATTTCAAACTTCTATGAACTCACCTGAAATCTTACCATCAGGCTCAAAACTGTAAATTCATCTGTCATAGTTTTATATGAGTAGAGTGTCTTAGTCAACTGGCATTCAGGGCAGTAAAATACTTTCAACACCAGGTCATTTTGAAAACAGCAGTCAGAGAGGCCAATGATAAGCTGATTTCTTGCTTATATGACATCTAAGTTACTCATCTAAGTTTAAACAACCATCCTTACCTTGTCTAATTTCTTAGCATCATTTTCGTTGCAATCTACCCAGTCTCCAGTGTGAGAGTTAAAACGTTGCCATTGTCCATTCTTATTGCGCACCTTTCCTGCTTCACTGGTAACAATGTCTTCCTCCTACAGAGTAACATATTGACATACAGTCATACATACTTTCTACTGTATCATTATGGCGTAAAAATCTATACACGAGAAAGTCTATATGTGGAGATGAATGATGCCCTTTAGTATTCAACTTTCTATCACTCTCATATGAATTGTACATAAAAAAATTCCAAACACCAATGCAGTAATTTATATAAAAATACATATATCTGATCTTACCTCTAGGCCAGCAGGTCCTACATCTACAACTGTATTGTTTGCCCCATCATATTTTAATAGCTGCCCATCCACTTCCCGCAGTTGACGAGCTCTCTTCCTTTCAGGATCACCCTTAATTGAGTAAAAAAAACTCATGGGATAAAAATTCATTGTTATAACATAATGGTCATACATCAGTATTACTATTATCTCTTCTCAAAACTTCAAATATTTTGAAACTCATTTCTGTTTGGTGTTGTAAAATGAGGTAATAATGTCTCATTTCTTATATTTTCACCCCGGGTTTCTACCAAGTTTAAATATTCTGTGACCCACCTCTCTCTTAGATGTCTCCTGGTTATCAGGGGGCTCAACCCAAGCTGACCAATGGTCTCCAGTTTTTTCTTGCCATTTGCCATCAACCTTCTTCAGCTTCTTAGTGATAGGGGTGGTGAATCCTACCTGGGGGTCAGACACAGGTTGCCAACTACCCCCATGTGTTTGGCTCTCAAGTTGACCATTATTCACTCTCACTTTCTTTGTCTCACAAACCTTAATTCCCTCCTGGCAATAAATAGCAAATCATATACTATTTTTAAGTGTATTCCATTAGTTCATAGCACCAGACTAATTTTAAGTCACCTTCTCTATGAACATCTTGGAACCTTGGAAACCATTACCCAAAAAACAGATTGAAGTCATAAAATCTCTCCCCCATTGTAACTTCTTTTGAGCTGGAAGCAATATTGAGAGAACAAAGTGTTATTACAAAGACTACATACCTCTTCAAGTGTTCCAACATTGTCGAGTGACATATCTTTCCACTGTTTTGTGTCTTTGTCTTGTTGTTGCCACACTCCAGCCACTCTACGTACCTTCACTGTGGCATCTGGTCCATCACCAGACTGTCAAGTAAAACAAACCATTTGCATTGGTTATGTACTTTTGAATATTCAATGACAAATATAATTCTAATAAGGCCTAACTGTCACATTTATGATACCTTCATACAGTAAACTGAAAATGTTTAAGTCCAATACACACTTTGAGTAATACATCCATGTAACCATATTTACAGGTAATGCAAAATGTGAAACTGTACCTCTATTTGCTTTGCCCTTTCATCGGATACTGCTTGCCATTTATTATTATGAGGATTCCACTCTTTCCATTTCCCATGAACCTTCTTCAACTTAGTGGGCTGATAGACTTCTACCCCCTCTGCTAACTGTGCATCTATTGAATCATCGGCTACGGGGTCCCATCCTCCGGCCTCATTATTCCACTGATGCCATTCACCATCTATCTCCTTTAATGTATTAGTCTCCATAGCAACAATACCATCCTAATGGGAATTAATATAATATTGTTATAATAGAAATCAAATAATGGTAATGCTAAATATTCCTCTACATTTCTTTTTGGAGACCAAAACTATATGCATACTATATGCATGAATAATTTAAGAAAGTTTAAGTGATTTTCAGATCAAATGATATTTATTTATTTTTTCTTGTCACTTACTGTTTGTAATAGTTGCAACTCCTTTGGAGACAATGGCAAAGTCTCTTTGGTCACTGGATCTATCTTTTTCCATTCTCCATCTTCCAGTCTCATTCTTTCCTCGAGTTCAGTTACCAACATTTCATTCTATAATGGAGGCAAATGTCAAAATTCAGATTTTGAAAAAACTCCTATATCATATTATTTTCGGATTAAAAAGTATGAACTAAAGTGTGAGAAATTGTCTATTTTAGCCAACTTCAGGATATACTTTTATTAAAGACAACATTCAAAATGACAAAAATTCTAGAGTTCCAACGAGATTTTATTATACCAATTCTGAATAATTTGCCCAAAAATAAAAATGATGCCCTTAAATTTATCAAATAACTGAAGAAAAATTATTCACAAAACAGGTTCAAAATACTTCGCACTGAAAAACTATTGTTTTCATTACAATTAACACCTTTGGGCATATCAAAACCTAGATAGGGATATATCATGTTTACCCTTTACCCCTACACGTTCCTCCAAATGATTTTCAAATGACTGAAACAACATACTAACCTGTTTGGCTTTGGCAGATTTCTCACGGTTTCCATTAGGATTGGTTTCTTTTCTATTTTTCTTCTTCTTGGGTTTATTTGTTGAGGATACAATTTTATTAAGTTGTTTTTCAAAATTCTTGTCAATATTTGACCATTCTCCAGTTTTACTGTCTTGTTTTTGCCATTGTCCATCAACCTTTCTAAGATGACTGGGGTCTTCATTGACAGCTAAGGCTGCAGCATCAAGTTCTTTGGATAAAGCAGGGCCTACATTGGACCATCCTCCAGTTTTACTGTCTTGTTTTTGCCATTGTCCATCAACCTTTCTAAGATGACTGGGGTCTTCATTGACAGCTAAGGCTGCAGCATCAAGTTCTTTGGATAAAGCAGGGCCTACATTGGACCATCCTCCAGTTTTACTGCCTTGTTTTTGCCATTGTCCATCAACCTTTCTAAGATGACTGGGGTCTTCATTGACAGCTAAGGCTGCAGCATCAAGTTCTTTGGATAAAGCAGGGCCTACATTGGACCATCCTCCAGTTTTACTGTCTTGTTTTTGCCATTGTCCATCAACCTTTCTAAGATGACTGGGGTCTTCATTGACAGCTAAGGCTGCAGCATCAAGTTCTTTGGATAAAGCAGGGCCTACATTGGACCATCCTCCAGTTTTACTGCCTTGTTTTTGCCATTGTCCATCAACCTTTCTAAGATGACTGGGGTCTTCATTGACAGCTAAGGCTGCAGCATCAAGTTCTTTGGATAAAGCAGGGCCTACATTGGACCATCCTCCAGTTTTACTGCCTTGTTTTTGCCATTGTCCGTCAACCTTTCTAAGATGACTGGGGTCTTCATTGACAGCTAAGGCTGCAGCATCAAGTTCTTTGGATAAAGCAGGGCCTACATTGGACCATCCTCCAGTTTTACTGTCTTGTTTTTGCCATTGTCCATCAACCTTCCTTAGTTGACCAGGATCCTCATTGACAGATAAGGCTGTAGCATCTAGTTGTTTGGCTAAAGCAGGGTTCACGTTAGACCATTCTCCAGTTTTACTGTCTTGTTTTTGCCATTGTCCATCAACCTTCCTTAGTTGACCAGGATCCTCATTGACAGATAAGGCTGCTGCATCTAGTTGGTGAGCTAAAGCAGGGTTAACATTGGACCATTCTCCAGTTTTACTGTCTTGTTTCTGCAATTGTCCATCAACCTTCCTTAGTTGACCAGGATCTTCATTGACAGATAAGGCTGCCGCTTCTAGTTGGTGAGCTAAAGCAGGGCTCACATTGGACCATTCTCCAGTTTTACTGTCTTGTTTCTGCCATTGTCCATCAACCTTTCTAAGTTGACCAGGATCCTCATTGACAGATAAGGCTGTAGCATCTAGTTGGTGAGCTAAAGCAGGGTTCACATCGGACCATTCTCCAGTTTTACTGTCTTGCTTCTGCCACTGTCCATCAACCTTCCTTAGTTGACCAGGATCTTCATTGACAGATAAGGCTGTCACATCTAGTTGGTGAGCTAAAGCAGGGTTAACATTGGACCATTCTCCAGTTTTGCTGTCTTGTTTCTGCCAGTGCCCATCAACCTTTCTGAGTTGACCAGGATCTTCATTGACAGATAAGGCTGTAGCATCTAGTTGTTTGGCTAAAGCAGGGTTCACATTGGACCATTCTCCAGTTTTACTGTCTTGTTTCTGCCATTGTCCATCAACCTTCCTTAGTTGACCAGGATCCTCATTGACAGATAAGGCTGCCGCTTCTAGTTGGTGAGCTAAAGCAGGGTTAACATTGGACCATTCTCCAGTTTTGCTGTCTTGTTTCTGCCAGTGCCCATCAACCTTTCTAAGATGACCATGATCCTCATTGACAGATAAGGCTGTAGCATCTAGTTGTTTGGCTAAAGCAGGGTTCACATTGGACCATTCTCCAGTTTTACTGTCTTGTTTCTGCCATTGTCCATCAATCTTCCTTAGTTGACCAGGATCTTCATTGACAGATAAGGCTGTCACATCTAGTTGATGTGCTAAAGCAGGGTTAACATTGGACCATTCTCCAGTTTTACTGTCTTGTTTCTGCCATTGTCCATCAACCTTTCTAAGTTGACCAGGATCCTCATTGACAGATAAGGCTGTAGCATCTAGTTGGTGAGCTAAAGCAGGGTTAACATTGGACCATTCTCCAGTTTTACTGTCTTGTTTCTGCCATTGTCCATCAACCTTCTTTAGTTGACCAGGATCCTCATTGACTGATAAGGCTGTAGCATCTAGTTGTTTGGCTAAAGCAGGGCTAACATTGGACCATTCTCCAGTTTTGCTGTCTTGTTTCTGCCAGTGCCCATCAACCTTTCTGAGTTGACCAGGATCTTCATTGACAGATAAGGCTGTAGCATCTAGTTGTTTGGCTAAACCAGGGTTTACATTAGACCATTCCCCAGTTTTACTGTCTTGCTTCTGCCACTGTCCATCAATCTTCCTTAGTTGACCAGGATCTTCATTGACAGATAAGGCTGTCGCATCTAGTTGATTTGCTAAAGCAGGGTTCACATTGGACCATTCTCCAGTTTTACTGTCTTGTTTCTGCCACTGTCCATCAATCTTCCTTAGTTGACCAGGATCTTCATTGACAGATAAGGCTGTCACATCTAGTTGATGTGCTAAAGCAGGGTTAACATTAGACCATTCTCCAGTTTTACTGTCTTGTTTCTGCCATTGTCCATCAATCTTTTTTAGTTGACCAGGATCTTCATTGACAGATAAGGCTGCTGCATCTAATTGGTGAGCTAAAGCAGGGTTAACATTGGACCATTCTCCAGTTTTGCTGTCTTGTTTCTGCCATTGTCCATCAACCTTCCTTAGTTGACCAGGAACCTCATTGACAGATAAGGCTGTAGCATCTAGTTGGTGAGCTAAAGCAGGGTTCACATTAGACCATTCTCCAGTTTTACTGTTTGGTTTCTGCCACTGTCCATCAACCTTCCTTAGTTGACCAGGAACCTCATTGACAGATAAAGCTGTAGCATCTAGTTGGTGAGCTAAAGCAGGGTTCACATTGGACCATTCTCCAGTTTTACTGTCTTGTTTCTGCCATTGTCCATCAACCTTCCTTAGTTGACCAGGATCTTCATTGACAGATAAGGCTGCCACATCTAGTTGTTTGGCTAAAGCAGGGTTAACATTGGACCATTCTCCAGTTTTACTGTCTTGTTTCTGCCACTGCCCATCAATCTTTTTTAGTTGACCAGGATCTCCAGTAACAGATAAGGCTGCCACATCTAGTTGGTGAGCTAAAGCAGGGTTAACATTAGACCATTCTCCAGTTTTGCTGTCTTGTTTCTGCCATTGTCCATCAACCTTCCTTAGTTGACCAGGATCCTCATTGACAGATAAGGCTGCCACATCTAGTTGGTGAGCTAGAGCAGGGTTCACATTAGACCATTCTCCAGTTTTGCTGTCTTGTTTCTGCCATTGTCCATCAACCTTCCTTAGTTGACCAGGATCCTCATTGACAGATAAGGCTGCCACATCTAGTTGGTGAGCTAGAGCAGGGTTAACATTAGACCATTCTTCAGTTTTGCTGTCTTGTTTCTGCCATTGTCCATCAACCTTCCTTAGTTGACCAGGATCCTCATTGACAGATAAGGCTGCCACATCTAGTTGGTGAGCTAGAGCAGGGTTCACATTAGACCATTCTCCAGTTTTACTTTCTTGCTTCTGCCACTGTCCATCAATCTTCCTTAGTTGACCAGGAACCTCATTGACAGATAAGGCTGTCACATCTAGTTGGTGAGCTAGAGCAGGGTTCACATTAGACCATTCTCCAGTTTTACTGTCTTGCTTCTGCCACTGTCCATCAATCTTTCTGAGTTGACCAGGATCTTCATTGACAGATAAGGCTGCCACATCTAGTTGATGTGCTAAAGCAGGGTTAACATTGGACCATTCTCCAGTTTTACTTTCTTGCTTCTGCCACTGTCCATCAATCTTCCTTAGTTGACCAAGATCCTCATTGACAGATAAGGCTGCCACATCTAGTTGGTGAGCTAAAGCAGGGTTCACATTGGACCATTCTCCAGTTTTACTGTCTTGTTTCTGCCATTGTTCATCAACCTTCCTTAGTTGACCAGGATCTTCATTGACAGATAAGGCTGTCGCATCTAGTTGGTGAGCTAAAGCAGGGTTAACATTGGACCATTCTCCAGTTTTGCTGTCTTGTTTCTGCCATTGTTCATCAACCTTCCTTAGTTGACCAGGATCCTCATTGACAGATAAGGCTGCCACATCTAGTTGGTGAGCTAAAGCAGGGTTCACATTAGACCATTCTCCAGTTTTGCTGTTTTGTTTCTGCCATTGTCCATCAATCTTTCTGAGATGACCAGGATCTTCATTGACTGATAAGGCTGTAGCATCTAGTTGTTTGGCTAAATCAGGGCTCACATTGGACCATTCTCCAGTTTTACTGTCTTGCTTCTGCCACTGTCCATCAATCTTCCTTAGTTGACCAGGATCTTCAGTAACAGATAAGGCTGCCACATCTAATTGGTGAGCTAAAGCAGGGTTCACATTGGACCATTCCCCAGTTTTACTGTCTTGTTTCTGCCATTGTCCATCAACCTTCCTTAGTTGACCAGGATCTTCATTGACAGATAAGGCTGCCACATCTAGTTGTTTGGCTAAAGCAGGGTTCACATTAGACCATTCTCCAGTTTTGCTGTCTTGTTTCTGCCATTGTCCATCAATCTTCCTTAGTTGACCAGGATCCTCATTGACAGATAAGGCTGCCACATCTAGTTGGTGAGCTAAAGCAGGGTTCACATTAGACCATTCTCCAGTTTTGCTGTTTTGTTTCTGCCACTGTCCATCAATCTTTCTAAGTTGACCAGGATCTTCAGTAACAGATAAGGCTGCCACATCTAGTTGGTGAGCTAAAGCAGGGTTCACGTTAGACCATTCTCCAGTTTTACTGTCTTGTTTCTGCCATTGTCCATCAACCTTCCTTAGTTGACCAGGATCTTCATTGACAGATAAGGCTGCCACATCTAGTTGTTTGGCTAAAGCAGGGTTCACATTGGACCATTCTCCAGTTTTGCTGTCTTGTTTCTGCCATTGTCCATCAACCTTTCTTAGTTGACCAGGATCTTCATTGACAGATAAGGCTGCCGCATCTAGTTGGTGAGCTAAAGCAGGGTTAACATTGGACCATTCTCCAGTTTTGCTGTCTTGCTTCTGCCACTGTCCATCAATCTTCCTTAGTTGACCAGGATCTTCATTGACAGATAAGGCTGTCGCATCTAGTTGGTGAGCTAAAGCAGGGTTAACATTGGACCATTCCCCAGTTTTACTGTCTTGCTTCTGCCATTGTCCATCAATCTTTCTTAGTTGACCTGGGTCTTCATTAACAGATAAGGCTGCCACATCTAGTTGGTGAGCTAAAGCAGGGTTCACGTTAGACCATTCTCCAGTTTTACTGTCTTGTTTCTGCCATTGTCCATCAACCTTCCTTAGTTGACCAGGATCTTCATTGACTGATAAGGCTGCCACATCTAGTTGATGTGCTAAAGCAGGGTTCACATCGGACCATTCTCCAGTTTTACTGTCTTGTTTCTGCCATTGTCCATCAATCTTCCTTAGTTGACCAGGATCTTCATTAACAGATAAGGCTGCCACATCTAGTTGTTTGGCTAAAGCAGGGCTCACATTGGACCATTCTCCAGTTTTACTGTCTTGTTTCTGCCACTGTCCATCAACCTTCCTTAGTTGACCAGGATCTTCATTGACAGATAAGGCTGCCACATCTAGTTTGTGAGCTAAAGCAGGGTTCACATTGGACCATTCTCCAGTTTTACTGTCTTGTTTCTGCCACTGCCCATCAATCTTTTTTAGTTGACCAGGATCCTCATTGCCAGATAAGGCTGCCACATCAAGTTGTTTGCATAAAGCAGGGTTCACATTAGACCATTCTCCAGTTTTACTGTCTTGTTCCTGCCATTGTCCATCGACCTTCCTTAGTTGACCAGGATCCTCATTGACAGATAAGGCTGCCACATCAAGTTGTTTGCATAAAGCAGGGTTCACATTACACCATTCTCCAGTTTTACTGTCTTGTTTCTGCCATTGTCCATCGACCTTCCTTAGTTGACCAGGATCCTCATTGACAGATAAGGCTGCCACATCAAGTTGTTTGCATAAAGCAGGGTTCACATTAGACCATTCTCCAGTTTTACTGTCTTGTTTCTGCCATTGTCCATCGACCTTCCTTAGTTGACCAGGATCTTCATTGACAGATAAGGCTGCCGCATCTAGTTGGTGAGCTAAAGCAGGGTTCACATTAGACCATTCTCCAGTTTTACTGTCTTGTTTCTGCCATTGTCCATCGACCTTCCTTAGTTGACCAGGATCTTCATTGACAGATAAGGCTGCCGCATCTAGTTGGTGAGCTAAAGCAGGGTTCACATTAGACCATTCTCCAGTTTTACTGTCTTGTTTCTGCCATTGTCCATCAACCTTCCTTAGTTGACCAGGATCCTCATTGACAGATAAGGCTGCCACATCTAGTTGGTAAGCTAAAGCAGGGTTCACATTAGACCATTCTCCAGTTTTGCTGTTTTGTTTCTGCCATTGTCCATCAATCTTTCTGAGATGACCAGGATCTTCATTGACAGATAAGGCTGCCGCATCTAGTTGGTGAGCTAAAGCAGGGTTCACATTGGACCATTCTCCAGTTTTACTGTCTTGTTTCTGCCACTGTCCATCAATCTTTCTGAGTTGACCAGGATCTTCATTGACAGATAAGGCTGCCACATCTAGTTGTTTGGCTAAAGCAGGGTTCACATCGGACCATTCTCCAGTTTTACTGTCTTGCTTCTGCCACTGTCCATCAACCTTCCTTAGTTGACCAGGATCTTCATTGACAGATAAGGCTGTCACATCTAGTTGGTGAGCTAAAGCAGGGTTCACATCGGACCATTCTCCAGTTTTACTGTCTTGTTTCTGCCATTGTCCATCAACCTTTCTGAGATCACCAGGATCTTCATTGACAGATAAGGCTGCCGCATCTAGTTGGTGAGCTAAAGCAGGGTTCACATTGGACCATTCTCCAGTTTTGCTGTCTTGTTTCTGCCATTGTCCATCAATCTTTCTGAGATCACCAGGATCTTCATTGACAGATAAGGCTGCCATATCTAGTTGGTGAGCTAAAGCAGGGTTCACATTGGACCATTCTCCAGTTTTGCTGTCTTGTTTCTGCCATTGTCCATCAACCTTCCTTAGTTGACCATGATCCTCATTGACAGATAAGGCTGCCGCTTCTAGTTGGTGAGCTAAAGCAGGGTTAACATTGGACCATTCTCCAGTTTTGCTGTCTTGTTTCTGCCATTGTCCATCAACCCTTCTGAGTTTACCAGGATCTTCATTGACAGATAAGGCTACCACATCTAGTTGGTGAGCTAAAGTAGGGTTCACATTAGACCATTCTCCAGTTTTGCTGTCTTGTTTCTGCCATTGTCCATCAATCTTCCTTAGTTGACCAGGATCTTCATTAACAGATAAGGCTGCCACATCTAGTTGTTTGGCTAAAGCAGGGCTTACACTGGACCATCCTCCAGTTTTGCTGTCTTGTTTCTGCCATTGTCCATCAACCTTCCTTAGTTGACCAGGATCTTCATTGACAGATAAGGCTGCCGCTTCTAGTTGGTGAGCTAAAGCAGGGCTCACATTGGACCATTCTCCAGTTTTACTGTCTTGTTTCTGCCATTGTCCATCAACCCTTCTGAGTTTACCAGGATCTTCATTGACAGATAAGGCTGCCACATCTAGTTTGTGAGCTAAAGTAGGTTTCACATTAGACCATTCTCCAGTTTTGCTGTCTTGCTTCTGCCACTGTCCATCAATCTTTCTGAGTTGACCAGGATCTTCATTGACAGATAAGGCTGCCACATCTAGTTGTTTGGCTAAAGCAGGGTTCACATTGGACCATTCTCCAGTTTTACTGTCTTGTTTCTGCCATTGTCCATCAATCTTCCTTAGTTGACCAGGATCTTCATTAACAGATAAGGCTGCCACATCTAGTTGTTTGGCTAAAGCAGGGCTCACATTGGACCATTCTCCAGTTTTACTATCTTGTTTTTGCCATTGCCCATCAATTTTTCTTAGTTCACCAGGATCTTCATTGAAAGCTAGAGATGCCTTGTCCAGTTGTTTGGCTAAAACAGGGCCGACATTGCACCATTCTCCTGTTTTACTGTTCAAAGTTTGCCATTGTCCTTCGATGTTTCGTAACTGATTCAATTCATCTTTCTTTTCACCAACTAGATCTTCACCATACTCCACAACTGGAATTTCAACCTGTGAAGGAAAATAAAACTCAAAGTTAATTTGAACAATTGCACATATTCAGCAATATCATCACTGCTATAAACAACCAGAGCAAGTACCTCATACTCTCGTGCTTTTCTAGGATCAATTTTTGTCCATTCTCCATTCTTGTCATTCAACATCGACCATTGTCCAGCACTATCCCTTTTGATTTTATTGGTTGCTATATGTTCAATACCATCCTGGAAGTAATAAACATATATATTACATTGTAGTGAGCTTATACATTCATTCTTGATATTACTACTTCTTTGAACCTTTGAAAGACAGTTCTTATATCATTAAAACTAAGTTGGCTTTTATGTGATCAACCTCATACATACATTTTCATAACGCTCAGCTGTTTGTGAAGATACATTTTTCCAGGATATATCATTACTATCAAGCTCCTGCCATATTCCATTTTGTTTCCGCACAATAGCTGTGTTTGCATTGAATTCCCCAGTCTAAAATAAAAGCATCATTCTGCCATGTACATTGTTACAGCACTCATTTTTATTGGTTGTTCTTTGTAAGATAATACTGTTTACTTTGCTTTTTCTGTTCATAATTCACGGAGATCAATGATTTTGAGGCCACAAAAGGCACAAGTGCTGGACTGTGATTTACTTTACTTTTCACGGCAGTCCAGTTTTAAAATGGAGAAACAATGCTCTTCACTTCTGTCAAGAAAACTGACAAATTCAGATATTTCAGTTGTACAGATTTAGTTGAAACAGTAGAAAATTGGTCCTCCATTTTATCACTGAACTTCAAAAGTTAATTGAGTCAAAGTTCACCACTTGTGGCTTCAATACTATTGTTCAACTTCAAATTGTGCTATATTTATGCTAATTTGGAGCAGAAAATATTCCATCACAATTTCTTTTAAATGTCTTACTTCATATTTCTGAGCATTATTTGGTGCAGCATCCTTCCATTGTTGGTTCTCTTCATCCCACTCTTTCCAAACATCATCCACTTTCTTAACCTTCTTCTGTTCAATGTGCACAATACCATTTGTCTAGATGAGATAAGATGTGTAAATAAAAGGATATTAATTAGGTAGGTGTGTGTATTGCTAACTAGAAACATGTCTCAGGGTTCATCAACATTCTTTATAGGCATAGCCAGACATAATGAGGAAAAAATCGAAAAAGATAGGGCTACCTCATATTGTTGCGCAGTTTGATGATCCGCCTTTTGCCAGGCACCAGCTTCTTTATTGAATTCATGCCATACTCCATCAATCTGTTTCACTTTTCTTAGCTCAACTGCATCAAGGCCATCCTGGAATAAATGCAATCATAAATCAGTGTGTATGCAGTCAAAGGAATATTGTCACCTCCCCACAGGGGCTTAATGCAATAATAGAATATCAACAAATGTATTTGACTTGAATCACTCAATCACCTAATAATATACTGCAGTATTAACACTGTAAATACTAAATACCTTATTAAATGTGTCAGCTTCTGCTTGGCTTGCATCTTTCCACTGCCCACCACCTTGCTGTTTCTGCCATTTGCCCTCATTATATCTAACTTTAGTTATCTGCAGTGTGTGCTCTTGACTATCTGTCTCCATCTTGTCATCTGGTAAACAGCTGTCCATTATTGGAATTTCAACCTAAATGGGAAATAGTGTCTATTAGAAATTGATAAATGCAAATGAACTAATGAAATTAGGTATTTTGGTTATTTCTATTCATTGTGAGAGAATATATGTATTATTTCCTCAGATTGATTGATAAGTGTGCTTTCTGAGCAACCTTTTTGAGTTGAACAAATAAGTTGCAATATAATTTTACTTACCTTGTATTGTTCAGCTTTCTTTGTACTGAGTGTCTTCCACTCTCCAGACTTCTCATGAAGCCTCATCCACTCCCCATCCTGCTCCTTTATCTGTTGTGTTGTAGCACTTTCTATACCTTCCTGTTTGCAATATGGAAAGAAAATTTATCAACTTTGAGTATGAAAAATGAACACTAAAATAGCTTTTTAAATGAATTTATTGATCATCATCTATTTACCATGTCATATTTTTCTGCTTTAGCTGGTATAACATCTTCCCAGCTATTGCTTACCAGTGTTTCTAATATTCAATTCATTGTCAATTCAAATGAATTTCTTTATCATCATCTATTTACCTTGTCATATTTTTCTGCTTTAGCTGGTGTAACATCTTCCCAGCTATTGCTTACCAGTGTTTCTAATATTCAATTCATTGTCAATTCAAATGAATTTCTTAATCATCATCTATTTACCTTGTCATATTTTTCTGCTTTAGCTGGTGTAACATCTTCCCAGCTATTGCTTACCAGTGTTTCTAATATTCAATTCATTGTCAATTCAAATGAATTTCTTTATCATCATCTATTTACCTTGTCATATTTTTCTGCTTTAGCTGGTATAACATCTTCCCAGCTATTGCTTACCAGTGTTTCTAATATTCAATTCATTGTCAATTCAAATGAATTTCTTAATCATCATCTATTTACCTTGTCATATTTTTCTGCTTTAGCTGGTGTAACATCTTCCCAGCTATTGCTTACCAGTGTTTCTAATATTCAATTCATTGTCAATTCAAATGAATTTCTTAATCATCATCTATTTACCTTGTCATATTTTTCTGCTTTAGCTGGTGTAACATCTTCCCAGCTATTGCTTACCAGTGTTTCTAATATTCAATTCATTGTCAATTCAAATGAATTTCTTTATCATCATCTATTTACCTTGTCATATTTTTCTGCTTTAGCTGGTGTAACATCTTCCCAGCTATTGCTTACCAGTGTTTCTAATATTCAATTCATTGTCAATTCAAATGAATTTCTTAATCATCATCTATTTACCTTGTCATATTTTTCTGCTTTAGCTGGTGTTACATCTTCCCAGCTATTGCTTACCAGTGTTTCTAATATTCAATTCATTGTCAATTCAAATGAATTTCTTTATCATCATCTATTTACCTTGTCATATTTTACTGCTTTAGCTGGTGTAACATCTTTCCAGCTATTGCTTACCAGTGTTTCTAATATTCAGTTCATTCTCAATTCAAATGAATTTCTTAATCATCATCTATTTACCTTGTCATATTTTTCTGCTGTAGCTGGTGTAACATCTTCCCAGCTATTGCTTACCAGTGTTTCTAATATTCAATTCATTGTCAATTCAAATGAATTTCTTAATCATCATCTATTTACCTTGTCATATTTTTCTGCTTTAGCTGGTGTAACATCTTCCCAGCTATTGGTTACCAGTGTTTCTAATATTCAATTCATTGTCAATTCAAATGAATTTCTTTATCATCATCTATTTACCTTGTCATATTTTACTGCTTTAGCTGGTGTAACATCTTTCCAGCTATTGCTTACCAGTGTTTCTAATATTCAGTTCATTCTCAATTCAAATGAATTTCTTAATCATCATCTATTTACCTTGTCATATTTTTCTGCTTTAGCTGGTGTAACATCTTTCCAGCTATTGCTTACCAGTGTTTCTAATATTCAGTTCATTCTCAATTCAAATGAATTTCTTAATCATCATCTATTTACCTTGTCATATTTTTCTGCTTTAGCTGATGTAACATCTTCCCAGCTATTGCTTTCTACATTTAACTGCTGCCAGGTTTCATTTCTCTTTCTTAGTGTTATTGGCCTTGCAGTGAAGTCACCCAGCTGAAGTAAAACATGTGTACATATATGAAGGTGAAAACATAAACAACTAGACTACAGAGAAATAATTCAGATACTACATATGAAAACAATTCATTTGACATGTTCATTTGTTTATAATATCAACCAGGATTATCATTAGAAAGTAATCTACTGAAACAAAACAGCTTTAAACCATTTCCTGTTATTCCAATAATACTGAAATTATAATAAAAAACTTAAATATCTCACTTCATATTTCTGAGCATTATTTGGTGCAGCATCCTGCCATTGTTGGTTCTCTTCATCCCACTCTTTCCAAACATCATTCACTTTCTTAACCTTCTTCTGTTCAAAGTGCACAATGCCATTTGTCTAGAATCATAAAAATATAATCAATGCCAACTATAAAGGAAATGTGCTAGATAGACTTTGTGTTCTGGGACTGAATTATGAACGGAAATATATATCCAAGGCCATGGCAAAATACAAATGTAATGACAGTATCATGAATACCTCATATTTCTTTGCAGTCTTTGAATCTAGTTTCTTCCAGTCTCCTGATTGTTCATTCAACTTGTGCCACTCTCCATCAATTTGTTTTAGCTTGGCCACTACAACAGCTGACACACCATCCTGTGCAAGGTATACAATAACATTTAAATTTCATGATAGGCCAATTGATAATATGTACACATACCAAAATATGAATATGCATTGCCCTCGAAATGATGTAAATACCTTATTAAAAGTGTCAGCTTCTAGTTGGCTTGTATCTTTCCACTGCCCACCACCTAGCTTCTTCTGCCATTTGCCCTCATTATATCTAACTTTAGTTATCTGCAGCGTGTGCTCTTGACTATCTGTCTCCATCTTGTCATCTGGTAAACAGCTGTCCATTATTGGAATTTCAACCTACATTGGAAATAGCAACTATCACAAATGGATAAATGCAAATTAATTGATGAATTTGGTACTTTTGGTTATTTTAATGGAGAAAACAATTGTGTGATGCGTTTGATGAGTGGACTTTCTGTGCAATCCTTTTGAAATTGAAAATAAATTACATCATCATTTTTACATACCTTGTATTGTTCAGCCTTCTTTGCACTGAGTGTCTTCCACTCCCCAGACTTCTCATGAAGTCTCATCCACTCCCCATCCTGCTCCTTTATCTGTTGTGTTGTAGCACTTTCTATACCTTCCTGTTTGCAAAATAGGGAAGAAAATGTTTACAGTAAAGGAAAGTACCTTCCTGTTTGCAAAATTGGGAAGAAAATGTTTACAGTAAAGGAAAGTAAATAAGCTTAACAGGTTGTGAATTGATGATAATTATTTCAAGTAATCTCAAAATTACTCATGTTTCAAGTATGAAAAACTAACAACAGACATGCTTACTTTTTATAGCTAAATACATTTGTACTTGTATGGTTACCAGTGTTTCTAATATTCAATTCATTCTCAATTTCATCTATTTACCTTGTCATATTTTTCTGCTTTAGCTGGTGTAACATCTTCCCAGCTATTGCTTTCTACTTTTAACTGCTGCCAGGTTTCATTTCTCTTTCTTAGTGTTATTGGTCTTGCAGTGAAGTCACCCAGCTGAAGTAAAACATGCATATGATGATGTAAACAGAAACAACTAAGACTAAAAAGAAATAATTTCTATACTACATATGAAAACAATTCACCGTTCATTTGTTTGTAATATCAACATGGATTGGTATTAAAAAATAATCTAACGAAACAAGACACAGTTTTAAACCAGATTATAATGTTGTTGCTGTTATTCCAATAATGTTGAAATGATTATATGAAAACATAAATGTCTCACTTCATATTTCTGAGCATTATTTGGTGCAGCATCCTTCCATTGTTGGTTCTCTTCATCCCACTCTTTCCAAACATCATCCACTTTCTTAACCTTCTTCTGTTCAAAGTGCACAATACCATTTGTCTGGAATCATAAAAATGTAATCAACTAGATAACGGCAACTCCGCGGAGTAGCAAATCCCAACGAACAAAATATCAATTACCGAATTCCAATCAATTATACTCATTACTTTGGTTGAAAATGAAAAAATTAGATTTTAGAATTGCGAATTCCTGCAAAGCAGCCATTTTGAATTTTCTGAGGTACAAATCTGAAAAATAATACCATAATTGTGATTTACTCCAAAATTCCTTCAATTTGAGTATAATATAGCCATACTTTGAAGGGATCGAAAAATTATTGCGAAATCGTACATTAGACGTCCATTTTGAATTTTACGAGGCTCGAATCAGAAAAAGATACAATATTTGCAATCTACTCTTAATTGCCTTTCATTTGAGTATAATAAAGCTATACTTCAGAAAGATCTAAAAATTAGCGAAAATTTCTGTTTTCCTGTCCCCCCATACATGGCCCCTGGGGGTCAGGATGAAAAACACGGAATATATGTGAAATAGATAAATGTTGTGAATACTCTACCAAAATTTCAAACAATAATATTAATTACTTTGGTTTAGAATGAAAAATTTATGATTTTTGCGAAAAAGTCCCGTCATTTTTAAAGCGGCGGCCATCTTGAAAATTTTTTTTTTGCGTAAAATTATTCACCAATATACATCTTTCCACTAAATATGAAGAAAATCTGTCGACTAGTATTTGAGTTATCTTCCGGACAGACGGACGGACGGACGGACAGACGGACGGACGGAGGGCTTCACTATATCCCTAACGAACTTCGTTCGTTGGGATAATAAGTTCACAAGTGGTAGTCAACTATAAATGAAATGTGAACAAATGGACTATATGGGGCAATGACATTTTTTATAAAAATATTCCGAGTATGAATTGTGAAAGGAAACTCGTATAGATGTATATCCAAGGCCATGGCAAAATACAAATGTAATGACAGTTTCATGAATACCTCATATTTCTTTGCAGTCTTTGAATCTAGTTTCTTCCAGTCTCCAGATTGTTCATTCAATTTGTGCCAATCTCCATCAATCTGTTTTACCTTGGCCACTACAACAGCTGACACACCATCCTGAGCAAAGTACACAATAACATATAAGTAAAGCTTTTGATAAAATACCAAAGACATGAATAAGTTAACAGTTCTCTTTTAGCAAAAGCCTTGAAATATGAATCACTTTCAATGTTAATTTTCAAGATATTCCTTTGATACCCTCATCAAAAACTCATTATAGGAAAACTTTTACATGGTGTCATCAGATTTAATTGCATCTAACCTTATTGAATATGTCAGTTTCTAGTTGACTTGCATCTTCCCAGAGCACACCATCTTGCTGTTTCTGCCACTTTCCCTCCAACTTTCTGACCTTCATGATTTGCAATGTATACGCCTCATCATCCTATAATTATTTCATATTTTTATGACCATAATGATGTTTAATGGATTACATTCTTTACAAATCCTTTGTGAGATGTTACTACAAACAATTGTATTTTATAACTGTCTTAGATAAAATATCATTTATTTAGCGTTGAGGAAAAATATGTAATATCAACGTCGAAGAAAAATATGTAAAAAAAGAGTGTGACTTACCTCTCCTTATAAATTTGTTGGTCCCCTTTTTAGGAATTGAGTCCATATATTTGAATAAGCGTGTTTCAAATAAGCTTGTCCACACTGGACCCTACTTTCACTCTCTATGTCTATTCTAATGTCAACCCGGATCTGTAAGCTAGGCAGAACCTGACCAAGAGACTATATACATTGCATGTATTGTAGATTATCAACAATTCTTCTCTGTTCTATGCACGTACAGAATGAACAGATCTATATGACTGTTCTAATAAAGCTCAGAAAGCTATGAAACACAGTCATTAGTCAAAGCAATTCCACAATGAATAAATTCTTTTTTCTAAGCACCAAACTATATACAGCATTTAATATGAAGCTCCAAAGCATATAATTTCGAAGGTAAATAAAAGTGTTTAGATCCTTCAGTCAAATATAAACAGAATGTGTAGATAAATAATTTTACCTCTTTTTCATCTTTAACAATTTACATTTAGTACTTACCATGTAAAAATGCACATGTGTGGTTTGATCAGTCGGTGAATTAACAATTTTAAAAACAACTCAAGTTTCTTATTCAAAGTGTTGCATTCAAACATAACAAGGAAGTACATTTTCACAATATTACACTACACAAAAGTGGAGCAGCCCCATCTTGCACTATATCCAACCCAATTCTGGACCTAAAGCAGTAGATATTAGTATTGCATGAAATGTTAATAATGAGTGTACATTCGAACATGACATAATTCACTGTATTGAACAAGGTAATAACATGACAAAATTCAATCACCTGATAAGTTATGTCAAATAGTTACAAAAGTGTAACAATTGTTACAGAGATTGAATGTCAATTACTGAATCGGGACTACTGGTCAAAAGAATGGAAGCCACTTCTTGAAGTGATCTTATAAAGTAGTGATTACACATTACTTGTGTTGAGAGACCCATGTCATGTTCGAACTACAATAAGGACCTCATAAGTATCTTATCTGACAGTACAAAGTTTTGAATCTAGAAAACTTGAATAGCCACCCATGTGGGCCTCTAATCCAAGGATAAAATACTTGTTTTTGGTCCATGTTTCTTAAACTACATGTATCAGTACCTTGCAAACTATTTAGGAAAACAGGCAAAAATAGAGTTCACATGAAAAAACAGCCTCAAAAATCTTGATATTGTCGCTATAAGCTATAAGCCTGTCAAAAATGGTACATTTACATGTTCATCATCTAGTTTCTGTTTTTTCTCCTCTGTGTCTGATCCCTCATCTTCCTCAGACTTCCTCTTGAGAGCTTTAGCCTCTTCTTCCTAAGTGATGAATTTGACATGTTGGATATTACATAAAATAATACTAATCAAATGAAATGAAAATGGCCACCATACACATTTCCCTGAAAATACTTGAATCCTACTTTCGGGAACACTTTTAAAAAATCAAACAAGCACTCTATAGATATTGTACTAGCTCGGAGCTCTGAGCTACATGAAGGGGTTGCTCTACTCATTGTCAATAATCCCACAAGAGCTTGGGACCACTACTTCTATAACATGCAATTCTTGGCTTTATTACTTTCAAAAATGTGTGTAATATAAGGCAGTATTAAGTTATTAACAGCTGAAAAGAAGATATGAATATGCTGGATTGTCTGTTAATTCTAAAGAATACCTGTTCCATTCTGGCAGTTTCCTCATCCCTTTTTTGTCTTTCCTCCTCTTCTTTACGTTTGGCCTCATCTTCAGCTTCTTGTCTGGCTCTCTCCTCTGCTTCAAGCCTACCTCGTTCTGGAATGATCATATACACTATCATACACTTACTGAACAATTATCCTATATGAAGATTTTGAACACATTCTGGAACTTATTTCATACTGTTTTTGGACATATAGCAGAGTTAGTTCATGAAGAAACTTATAAGTTCATAATAAGAGTGATTTTCTAGTACTAGTTCATCATACATTCATCATTTGAGTCACAAATAATTCTTAAACAGATTGAATCATTAGCAAGAGTCATGTAATGAATAATCATTACCAAATTCAAGTGATTAGAGCTTGGAAGACATTTTTCATTCTTCTATAGGAACAGATCTCTACATATATGTTTTTCAGATAATGAATTACATTTCAGGTTGGCCCCTCCAACCAAATTGTAACTGAACATAAATCACAAAACAAAATATTTTTTAAAAATTGATGAATGTAAACAGCACCAATAGTAATTCATCATTCATCGATATACTGACCTGGTCCATCAGTATAGGATTAATCAGTTACACAATAGAGGGTTCAGACATATATTAGACTTCACCATAATTCTTTTTAAGATAAAATTGTTTAGTGACTGCAGAATCTACATGTATGTAGTATTTAACAGGAGCTCATAACTAATGTGTGATGTGTAATCCTAGGTTCATAATGCACTCACATTTTGTCATCCTAATTTTGCCTTATGCACAAACTTCACATAGTACATTGTAAATACAATTCTATAGGTGACTATATTTGTTGGATTGTGAAATAATTTGACACAATAAGTAAGTGATATCATTTTACAGTAACATTTTACATTCCAAGCAAAATGCTTATAATATAGAATAAGAAGTAAATAACATAATCCTTCAGTCAATCCATGTATCACATCCAGCTGCCATACAGGAGAGGTAGAATTCCTCACGCCAGTCATCATGCTTAATCATATATAGCTCTACATATACTACCACTACTACTAAATGGTCAAATAAATAGCATGTGTCATTTCAGTCAATTGTCTTTGTTTTCAGTGAGTCTTTTCACTCTGTGGACTAAGCTGAGGTGCATTGCTGACATTTTCTTTGTGATATCTACTTATAATACCCACCAATTCAAGAATGAAACATTTAAAAGACAATCAAAACATTTAATACAAGTGTAATTTTACATATTATTTAAATAATTTACTTTTAATCATCATATACAGGGACAACGAATTCAACCGCCACATTGTTTTCATTTAACACTAACATTGCTGGTCATTTTTGCTGGTCAAATTTACTATTACCAGTTGAAGTTTTAAAATAAAGCTAAAACAATAAATTTGCATTCAGTCAAAATACAAGAGAGAATTCTGGGGAGAACAGTTAAGAACAGACTGACTTTTTCACATCAGGCCTTTGCGCAGGATTTAATCCTGTGTTTTCATTAACCTAGATACTGTTATAACATTTGATTTCAAAATCAAAATCAATCTTATTAACTGCAATAAACAAGAACATTAAGCTAGTGTAAACCACAGGGTTATATAAAGTGATGAAGTGACTGGTTAAAATAATTCAAAATATTTCAAATAATCAGTTACATAATACAGTTCCATTTGATTTTGGCAGCCTCCCTAAATCTGTAGTATGCTTTTCTCAGAGAATGAAAATCCAAGAATCCAAAGTGTGGCAAATTCGCAAACCAGATGACACAAGTCAAACAATCCACACAAGGTCATTAATGACAGGTCAGTTCCTGGTTGACAATTAACTGGAATTCTTCAATCAAGTATGAAACATGTATAAGATAACACAATAATACACTAGAAGTAAACAATGTAGTAGACAAAAGTAAACACATTTGAAATTCCCTATTAGTATAAACACAATATAATACACAATAAATACAATGATATACATTTGCATAATAATAATAACAATTTATTTTTAGACACAGTAACATTGAAAACATCCAAACCAAAATCAATTCAAATCCAAAACCAAGATAAAACAAAACTTACTTTGTTCATTTTCTTGAACAACTTCAAGTTCATTTTCTTGTACAACGTCAAGTTCACTTTCTTCAGAACAACTCACTATAGCTAATTGAATAGTAGCAGTGTTTAACATTTAGTATAATAGGGACTTTGAAAAAGAGTATTCTAGGCAACAGAAAATGTTAACATTCAGTAGTAAATACATGCCAGGGTTGAAAACCTGGCTTTGAGGTTTCCTTTTTGGAGAACATGAGACGTAGGTAATGGACAACTGAGTTTTGAAATTTATACTGGTCTTTTGATCACCAAACAAGTTTCCTTAATCCCGCACACTGCAAGTCCATTGATTTTCCTGTATAGCACTCTTAGTTATCTTGGAGTTTTAAAAACAAAGTGCTAACCCAAAGCATGCATATACGAGTATAATGTTTGTAAACACATGTAGTCTAAGTGTAATATTTTTAAAGTAATTCAAAATCACTATTCTACCTGAAAGGATGAAGTAAAAACAGTCAAAAGCAGTACAGTATAATGCCTGTTATTTTGTCATGCAACGTGCACATAGCTTTTTTTATTTGGATCTATAAAAAGCTTCAAACCAATGTAGCGTTGGAGACAATTATCAATCAACACAAATAAAAATGCATGTAAATGTACTAATATACAACTACAATCGTACTATAACATGTAAGTAACATTTCAAGTGGACTAACTACTGGAATAAATATGGACAGGGGCTGACCAAGTAGAGGATGTATAGATAATGTGATTAAACTGACCTTCATCCTCCATGAGTTGCTTTCTTTTGGCTTCTTCCTCTTCCCTCTCACGTAAAACTTTGGCTCTCTCCTCCTGTAATACAACATGTCATTTTCTCTCATTGATGAAGTATTCGATCATTCAGAAGAAGAATATCTATCATATCAAAAATGCATTATCTTATAGATTTTCTTATAGAAAATTTGGAAGCCCATACAGAAACCCAAAGGCAATCTTCCATTTATAGTATTATTAAGTATTCAAATTGATTTCACAAAGCTGAAAATTCACATTATTACTTTAGTTTATGGAAAATCTAAAGTGAAGCAAGTTAATCATAAATATTGGTTGAATGGACCTCTTTCAAATAACCTCAGTGGTAGTCTTACCTCCTCCTCTCTCTTCAGTCTGTCTTGCTCTTCTTTTCTTAGTCTATCTTCCTCATCTTGCCTCTGCTTCTCTTCCTTTTTCTTCTTCTTTATTCTCTGACGTTCTTCTTCCTTAGCTTTCTCCAGTTCTTGTTTCTTGTGCAGTTTCTCTGTAAATATGAATAGCATGCCGAAAATAAACAACACTTGTGATACTATTGGTTTAATGATTTAAAGAACATATTACACGTTTATGTTATTTTTCATACATCTGTAATTTTATCTTATTTTACATTTGACATTTGTTATGTAAACCTGGTCTATAGAGGCATAATTTAAAACATAGAAGAGATTTTCACAGTGGAAACAGGTGAATTTGACTTTGATATTTCTACAGTGGATTTTCATAAAAGTACAATTCATCATTTATATGGTGCTCTGTTTACATTACTTCACTACATATAGTGAGGATTAGTGTATTGCCTAACCTGTATATGGTGACCTAAATAGTGAACTTTACAGGAGGTATACTGAGCAATATTAGTGAGGGACCATCTCAAAAGTCAGAAACAAAAATGGATAAATCTAAACTATTGACAGATATTAATCTTTGGATAAAGTTAGATACAAAAGGCCTAGGAAGGACTACTGAACTTGAAATAGCTGACTCTATATTGAAAACTGCAGATGAAAATTTAGGCAGAAATGTCATAAAAATAGCAAACATATTAGGAGTCCAGTTATATAGAAACGCATATATTCTCTATACAGATAGCACAAAATCCAAAAACACCTTACTGTCAATGGGATACGTATCTATTAAGGGAAAGGAATATCAAATGAGTGATTACAAACTAGAAAAGGAGTCTGTAACATATAAACATCGTAACCATGTTCGAATATCTATTCATG